TGTCCGTAAGCCATCAAAAAAGCCATTTATATCTGAAAAAATCAGAAAGGCTTTCGGAAACGATAATATTAAGTGGAAAAACATTATTTCTGGGATGAGTCTACGTTTAATATTAAAAGCTCAGAAGTGAAAAATTTTACGGTGAGAAGACCAAAAAATGAAAGACTCAGTGTTGCAAAAGTACAGTGAAGTATGAGAGAGGGTAAAGAATGGCGTGGCGCTGTTTTTCTTTCTATGGACTTGGGCCTATCCATGAAATAAAGGAAGTTATGGATCGGTTTGTTTACAAAGATGTGTTGAACATCACGTTGTTCCCTTACGCTGAGTAAAATATTCGGCTCATTTGGGTGTTTCAGCATGACAATGATCCCAAACTTGCATCAAAACTTGTCAAATATTGGTTGCGGGAGTTAAAAATGCATGTTTTGTTATGGCCGGCACAATCACCTGACCTAAACTCCATAGAAAACCTTTGGAGTATCATAGACAGGAAGATCAAGCGAGATTCGGAAACAAATAAGCACAACATTTTCCAAAGAATTCGGGGTGCCTTGGAAAGCATACCCAAGGATCAAATTGAGCGTGTTATCGATTCAATGCCACGTAGGTGTGCAGCTGCTATCAAAAAAAAAAAAAATGGATGCTATCGACTACTAGCCAAAATTTAATTATTTTAAAATAAAAAATCAAAAAGTTGCTTTAGTTTTGACCAAGCAAAAATTAGTTCATTTTAGTTTTCCATATATTATTTTTCCTTCTAATTTATTTTTGTATTTTTATTTTTAGTTTTTATTTTAGTTTCAACTCTGATTCAAAGCATCTTGTCATTGGCATGGTCTTTGGTATGCCTACGGAGTTCTGCAATAGAATTTATGACCTTTTTACATTTGCGTTCCCGAACTTCTTTGTTTTCCCAGATCGATTTCTGCCACTTAAATGGCATTCTTAAGACATATCCCTTCGCCCAATTACATACCAAGCCAAAATAGCATATTCCTCCCTTTCTTCTTTGCTGAATGAATAAAATATGGACGCTCATAAAAGGCACACACACACATACACACACAGAGGGACCGAGGATGCCATATTAGTATATACAACCGCTGTACGAGTTGACAAACGGAATTATGAAACCTCACGAGCCACAGCAGAGGCAAAGAGCCAACGTGTGTTGCTGCAGTCACGACTTGAATAATTCACTAGGATTCCTTGTAAGCCAAAGAACGTAACGAAGTCAAATAATGCTCTGGAGGGGAGCTTTTGTTTGTGCGCAAATGAATGTGAAAAATAAGGATATTTAAAGGATATAATTACAGCAAGACCAGGAAAAACTTCATTAATTTAAATATTAAATAGAAATGAATGCCGCAAAATATGTATTGTTGTGTGGCTTGTGTCTACTAGGGTTGTGGGGAATGACAACTGCCGAAACTACTTGGCAAGCGTGAAGCAACACAAACATCATTTTTCCCGATTTTATACTTATAATAAAGATCCTTTAACCATGTCGTCGTCGGTTTGTTGTTATGACGCTATCTTTTGAACAAATTATTGAAATATTGTGGCTTCAGTCTATATCCGTTATATGTTGGAAAAAAAGCTATACTCGTCCACATTTTGGAATAGCACATTGTAGACCATCGACCAAGTTAAGATGTTCCGCTCAACCAAATTATCTATACTTTGACATTATTGTTGTTCTTTGGGAGAGGGAATCATCCTTGCCAATAACAACTTTGCGATGCCCTATTTGTGACATTTTTAAGGTTTAACCGCATTTTCCCACCGAAATGTATGCTATTTGAAATATTTCGTTTTTACACCATGACAAAGAAACGTTAACTGTTGGTTTCTGTTTCTTTTTATATCTAATCCTTATGTTAACCCTTTCAGTTCTTTAATTTCAGTTGGAGTATTAAGTAAGAATGTTTGGAAAAATTTGTTTCAAATATGATTTCAAAGTATATTGTGTGCATTTCAATTTTTAAGCACAACAAGTCTCCAAATTATGTCCGTAGATGTCGTTAAATGTGACCACCTATACTTTCTGTTTAAAATCGAAGCTTCTGTCTTAAACCATCTAAATGCACTCTTAGACCATCTAAATGCGCTCACAGTTTGCAAATATTCCACTCTATCCATTGGTTTGTGTGTCGGGGTCTATATTACTCATATACACATATTTAAAAAAAAAAAAACTCTTTGTTCATTTATATTTGACGTCCTTGTCCCCCTTGGGATGTTCGTGGGAATATTAAATTATTTGACGCCATTATTTCGCATACTTGAGGAAGTATGTCAGCATTGTCATAGTCGCTTACCAGATATGTTGAATTGCTATACAGTCGAACATGAATAAAGCGAACATCGAGAACACATATATTTTCAATCACAATATATTTTGTATCGAGGTTCAACACTTATTGTGACTGATTGCTAAATTTCATATTTTATTTAAACTGAATATTTTCGGTTGAAATCGAAAAACTTGTTTTAAAGTTCGAACGAAACGAATTTAAAAATTTATGAATCTTGTGTAATGAAGGAATCAACAATTTTATTATTAAAGAAGCCGCAAAAAATTGTTGTTATTTGTAAATAGTTGGGCGTATTCTCGCTGCACACACACGCATACAAGTATTTTGGCAGAATAGAGGCACCAAAAGAAAAATCATGTAAAATGCTGTTTAAGACAAATTAATTAATTAATTTCGAAGACAAATTATGAAAAAAATCGAAATCTGTCCTGGAACAAAAAAGGGGAAACAAAGTAATATCCATTTTTTGGTAAATCCGAAACTATAGATATTAATTATTTTCAATTTTTCAAATTCAATTTCTCGCGCTAATAAACATAATGACCTCAATTAACCTAGTCATTCTCTATATTATTGGATGTATTCAATTTCAAATCCGATAAATTATATATCTTGAATCAATGTAAAATTCTAATGGCTGTGTCCGTCAGACCGTTTGACTGTTGTAACCACTCTCTCTCTCCCTCTTTCGGTGTAGTTGAGATAGTGAACTGACATTTTGCACACATATGACTGTGGTCTGAACTTAGATGAGTCTTAAATTTTGCTATTTCGATTTTGGGTATTTTCGATGAAAGCTACATTTCCATTGGAATTGTTTCAAGTTTGGTATTTGATGTTAGTAATGGCTAAAACTGCTCAAACAAAGAAATATGATCTATATGATTACGGATTTCGTGGAACCTCCATATAATGGTTCTTCCTACTATATTCGATATTTTATTTGGTATCAGAGATAATTTAAATGTTTGGCATTAAGCAAGAACTGTTTGGAAAAAATAAAATAATACCCTTATAGTGGTGGAGGATTTCAAAAATGTGGTCTAGTGGAAGTTATCGCATTTTTACAATAACAATAATGACTGACAGCTTTATAATGACAAAAAATGTTGAAAACACTTTCAGTGGTCAAAATATAAAGCGAACAAACCAGTTGTTGCATGGATATTTTTAGCCATTCGGACAGCAACCGTATTTTTAACATTCTTTAAATATGTTATTTTGTTTTTTTTTTAAGTGTATAGGGAAATGACGTTAAACTTTCATTACACTGCATTGATGGTATTTTTTGAAAACACAGCAGAGTCCTTTCATTCATGCAAAATACAGATATCGGGGGTGTTATTGGAGACCATAGATTTTCCCCATACATAATTGTTTCGACTTCACATCATTGTTGTGCGTGTTTAGAACACACACATATATATGTATATTCTTTTCATCCCATTTCAGATGAATTATAGAAAAGCCCCTACGAGCTATGCCTTTGATTGTTGCTTCATATTGTTGACATTTGTGCGGATTTGAAATGAAAACTTGGAAAATTTAAATAAAAACCAAGTCAAGTGATCCGACACTGAACCCTTAAACCTTTATAAAGGGGAATTAACCGACATTGCTTAACGAGTAACCCCACTCGAACACACACACAGTGATGCGTATTACAATGAATGGTGTAGACGTGTGTGCATGTGCAGCGTAGAATATACATTTATATGAAGAATTGTATATGTGTTTGCATATAATATTACAGCTACACACATACACTTGTGTGTACGCTAGTATCGTGTTTAGTAATATTTTAGGGGGGCTTTGTTTTTATTTACATTTCTCCTTCGGCATACTTCCTCCACCATTGACGATTCGTTCGGATCTCGAATTACTTTTGCCTTCTCTATGAATCATACAATGGGAAAAGACCCTCACCGTAGCGGTACATCATCAGTCGTATGGTGGAAAGAGGGCATTCGACAATTCGATAAAGGCCTGGGAGGTAAACGCGAACCAGGTCGATGCGATGGAATGAGAGCTGGTGGCGTAAAGTGGCACAAGTTGCGAATCCTAGACGACTTGCTGCTTGGCCATGGTGTGGTGTGGCATGACATGGTACAACAAATACAATTAAATTACGTACACATACGCACATTGTATGTGTACACAAACAAACACACACACAAGTCATTGCGACTATAAGTAGGCAGCTTGAAGGAACATTGGAGACATGTGCATGTGGACAAGTGTCTTAGAGAACATTCTTAAAAGGCATCACGTGAAACTGCGAAGTTTCGTAAAACAAAAAAAAAAAAAACATAACTATACATTTTCAATTTTTGGGATTTTCACAGACGCGAATGGGTGGATACAAAAATATATTGGTTACATTTGGATCTTTTTAATTTATGCAAAGAGTTACGGTTTTTTATTCATGCGATTGTTTTAAAATTCTATAGATTGAACGCTTTAATAAGACTTTTAAAATATATACACTTATATTAATACATATATATATATATATATATATATATATATATACGTTTGTGGATGAAAATCCACACACACACCAATGCAATCTATATGTGCGTGTGTGTAAATCCGTCAATATATGCTATGCAGGAGGAGTATCGGAATTATTGAAGTTTTATAGTATAAATTATCTCATTATTTAAAAAAAAAATTTCGTACCGTTCTAATCAGTTATTAAACAATTGTGAAAAGCACACAGTGGACCAGAAATCACTTTGTTTTATTCAATTTCATCACTTTTCTTTGCCAAAAATAGGCCACTCACTGTACTCTGTTTTTTTCCAATTGTCTTTGATTGTGTTTTTTCTTTCTTCTTTTAATTTAGGATGATTGGTGTTCTCTTATTTTTCTTCTTTTTTCCTTATTTTTTTTTTCTTTTTAACCTTTTGCAGCGTTTTTAAAACAAAACGTTTATGCGTTCGAACAGCTCACCTACGTCTGAATGGTGACGGCAGCGTGTAATGTTGATTTTCTTCAAGCAATTCCGAGCGGAAAACAACGTGAGCTCATTCCCAGTGTCCGTGTGCAGTTCTCTCTTTCTTTCGGAGAGTAAGCGAATCCTATTCAGTGTTGCCAAATCATGGGATATTTGAAAGTTGGAATTGTTTATGACATTCCTTTAAGGTTGGCTCAATTCAAATTTCGATTATTAGTAAGAGTAAGAGTAATGTGGCTGTCTAATGTCATAACTATCAACCAGAAATATGAATATGGAATTTTTAATTCCCCATAAAATTGGATCAAAATGCTCGATTTGTCATTTCTCCCATACCAATATTTTATAGATGAAGTGTGAAAATGTGAAAAAAAAATTCTAAAAACTATCACATACCTCATATAAAGTGAACGAAGTAAGGGTCAAAAATTTGAAAACTCATAAAAGAAGTCAAAATATTATTTAAAAATCGAACATTGACTGAGGGTATACATCTGTCGGCAAAACCGACTTATACTAGTCTATTTGTTTTATTTTAATTAAAACGGATTGATATTTTAACTTAACATATTCTACTCTTTTCATTATTTTTTTTTACTTCGAAAAACATAGTGGTGGCGGGTATAAAAAGTTCGGCCCGGCCGAAATTATAGCCCTTCTTACTTGTTTTTAATAATTTAGTTTCCTGATGGACATTTCAACGAAAATACATGAGCTTCTGTCCTTTACTCAAATTGTGACTTGGCCATAGGTGTGGCATCCCTAGTGATTTAGTGGGTCGTTTTTCGCATCAACAGTTTTAGCGTCTGCGCAATTCGAGACACCACCGTAACCTAATCACTTTTCAAAGCGTGCAGTTTGACACAGTTTTCCATTTTATCCTTCTCTACGTTAAATTCTGTTTACTCAACCGAACACGGACGGGGATACGAAAGTGGTGGGCGATGAAATGTGTGACAGAAATGCATCGCAACGTTTCGCAATAGGAACACCTGTAGTATTTTGTGCCCTCCTTCGATGGTTGTTTATCATTCAAGTTCGGTTCGTCATGCATTTCATCACCAATAATGAAATTAATTGTTGTGACAGTGTTGCCATCTCAATTGCTGCATATATGTGATGAAGACGTTTAAATTCAGATACGAAATGGAGGGTACAAATATAGCCACCTTCTTGAAGTAAAGACGTTTTACAATTCTTATCCAAAATAATCACTTGCAGGTGATTTGATAGGAAATTGTGTCGGAACCCTTGAAAAAGGTGGTAAAATATCTGTTTCATGATTGTACCTCATGATAAAACCTCTTTTAGAAACTCGTGAAAAGGAAAGACCAAATTTTTAAATTTCGCACATTACCGATATTTGACAACATCGTCCACAGATACGTGACTCATGACTATAACGACATTATGAAACAGATCTGTATCATTCCGTTTCGCTATATCACAATTAGAATGCTCGCGCAAATAGCTTTTCTGTCGTACATTGGCATTTGCTGGCCCCGTATCGAGTCGCTGTTTACATCAGTGCCTAATACGTTCTCGAAATATTACAAAACTCAGCTCCTTATCCGGCAACTCGAGTGGTATTCTTGAAAAGAAGCCAGAATTCATTCGTTGAACGATATAAAGGCGCACACACATGTGCATTTGCGTGTGTTTGTTTTTCTGTCTGTTTTCATAGCTTAGGTAGCGGACTTTTTGTAAGAACAGACATTTCATTAATTAGAAACCAGTTTCAGGCCTTGCAAAGTGAATTAACTGGTAGTCAAACTGTATTGCTTCCGTGCAATAGGTAAAACCTGCGTTCAACTTAAACAATATTACTCATAGTGTTTGGAAACGGAATGGTTATACCCTCCACGAGTACATTAAAATTATCATTCCGTTTGCACCATTTCGAAATATTTATCGCAGATCCCTTAAGTACACACATACATTCATGACCAATGCAAAATCCATTAGCTCGTTGGGTTGTTTGGTATTGAAAATGGCACATACCGGCTTCCCATTTAATGGTATCTCCTAATTTTCGGTATTTTGAAGGTCTTTGAAAAATTGTCGATAGAAAAATTGCTCTGAAAAAATAATGAAAATAGGTGTTGTGATACCATAACAGGAGGTACAATGCAGCTACCTCCCAAATACAATATTTTTTTATACCCTCAGCCATATGGCTAGAGAGAGTATATATCATTTGATACAACCAAAACGAAAATATCGGTCCACTCTATCCAAAATCTCCCCCACAAAGGGTCAACATTTTGAATGATTATAATTTTTATAAAATATGATATAAGTGTCCAATTGTTTGTATTAGCCAAAGGTCTGGTGTTGATGGAATATGTCGGTCCACTGTTACTGGTACCTCCACCACAAAAGGTCAAAATTTTCAATATTCATGGAGCTCTTAAAACACGAAATTTGATTTCTGGCTCTGATTTCATTCGGACTTGGCACATCTCAATATTTTTATTAACACAAGATCTGTTATGAAGATGGTAGAGATCGAACCATTCCTTCTGGTACATTCCCCACATAGGGTTCAAGATTAAAAAAAAAAAACAGTAAGGAAAGCTCAAAAGTAAGGCGGGGCCGACTACATGATACCCTACACCACTATGCATATTTAGTAGAGATCTCGTAAAAGAAAGGTTTATATTGGACATTTCTGAGCTCTATGAAATATCTGGTACAACATACGATTATGGTAGAGTGCATATTCCGAAATATAGAGATTTAAACACCGAATCGGATATATATGGGAGCTATAGCTATATTAACTCATTTTCACCAAATTGGATGTACTTACTTCTGGGCTGAATTTGGTCGAACGTACCAAAATCGTACATAATGAACCTCAAATGGGATGAGGATGTATTTGGGAGCTATATCCAAAACTGAGGGACAATCGAACAACAAATGCGACCTGCATTTTGTTTACAAAAATACGTGGACAAACGGACATACAGACAGACGGACGGACATGCATAAATCGACTCAAAATGTGATTCTGATCACATCTCCATGTTACAAACAAATGCACAAACACATAATACCCTTACCACTATGTGGTGTAAGGTATAATAAAAGTTCGAGGAAAGCGAAATAAGCATCCAATCCTCTTCAAATTTTACACATGAAACATTTTTGCTAGCACAAGATCTGTGTTGTATTTGGTGAAGCTTGAAAATGGAATACTTCGGTCGACTATATCTGATAACTCATGCTAATTTTAACAGTTTCAAAAAATTATCACATATCTCACATAAAGTGACTGAAGGTATACATCTGTCGGCAAAACTGACTTATACTTTTGAACTTGTAGCCAAAAGTCCAAAGTTTTGATATTTTGAGTACAGCCGATGTGAACAAAGGCCATGTAACGTCTTGTTTCTCGTTCGTATGGAGATGTTACATCTCCACCGCAAAGTTTTCCATTTCAGCAAAACCCTGTGATTTGTTGTGAAAACTTAAAAAAGACGGCCTAGCCTAAATGCCAATAAAATTCAAAAAGCTGGTATGGATATTGATTGTAGACTTACCTTTTGGAATACTATTCAGAATTCTACACTATGATTTTTGGTTTGGCGATTTCAACTTGATTATTGTATTGTATTATTGGCCACACGCACAGCTTGCAATTCGATTAATGCGTCTCTAATTTTTAATTGTTTGACAGTTAGAGTACTGGATTACTCGAAGTTTACATCCCAACTGATTAACTAGAAATGTTTTAGCAAGCAACTATTATTGGCATGATTATCTTTGGGAAATTCCAGTGTCCAAAACAGCAATAAATAGTTCGTCGTAATTCAATTTATTTCATACGTCACATTCTTTGGAATACGATAAAACTTGTAGAATTCTTTGTTTTTAAACGGCAGTAGTTGTGACCCGCTCGGGTTTTTTTTTCATTATTTGCTTCAAATAAAACATACGTCCACACATCATGCCTTATGGGTATGGAACATCTTACAAAATTCCTCTCACAGCGGATGGAGGATAACCTTGAAAGGCTACTTCATCTGAAAAAACTCGTATAGAAGTCTTAAGTGTTAAAAAATATTATATAATTCAAATCACACTTTCGAAATACAGTCCTTTTATCAATGATGTCCATTACTTATTCCATAGAACGTAAACGGACTGAAATATGGATTTTGATTAATAAATTAGCTTGGATGGCCTTGAACATTACAAACACCAAAAGTTTAAACGAAGGGACTTTTATTTAATGTCAAATCCATGTGAATATATTTAATAAATATGTATCCAGATACATACGTCTACACTCATTATCAGTTTGGAAATATGGACCTTACTCGAGAGGTAACATAAAATCGAGGTAATAAAAAATAACTGCAATACCTTTTTTTTATTATGCTACTACACTTTATCAATTATTGCAAGATTCTGAAAACAGGACTGCAAACCGGTTCTGAACCGAACCAATCGCTGTTCTGAATCGAATCTCACTCTGAAAAAGGCTGATAAAATTTTACTCAAATGTCTGCAGGACTTTTGCTATTGAAAATGGGCCATGTAGGTCCACGTTTTGGTGTAGCCCTCATATATGGGTATCTCCCTATTTTCAGTATTTTGATGATTTAAGTGACATTATTCGCCGGAATTGTTTCAAATTTGATATCTGAAGTTCGTAATGGATACTACAGCCTATGACAGAAAATTGTCTTTGCAGGTCTGCGTCTTCGTATAGCCCCCATATAACAATACCTCCCGATATTCGGTATTTTGATGATTTTAGTGACACTATTCACCGGAATTGTTTTAAATTTTGTATTTGAAGTTCGTAATGGATACTAAAGCCTATGACAGAAAATTGTCTGTGTAGTTCCCGGTCTTCGTATATCCGTCATACAATGGTACCTTCCTATTTTGAAGATTTTACCTACTTTATTCAGCGATTTTTTTTTTCAAGTTTCGCATTTGAATCTTATAATGGCTTATGACAAAAGGTGCCTATGCAGGCCCACGTCGTCGTATACACCCTAATAAAACGGCTACATTCGGTATTTTTAACATTTTAACGGATTTTATTTATTTATTTATTTATTTATTTATTTTATTTTTTTTTTTTTGAAAATTGTCAAATTTGTTCCAAATGGTGGAGGGCATTCAAAGTTCGACCTGGCTGCACTTACAGCTTTTTTACTTGTTTATTTTGTGTTTGATAATTCCTTACAATATTTAGTTCAACTACGACTAATGTAATGAATTTGGCAAGCAGTTTGTATGTGGAACTGGATATGAATGTATTTTCATATAATGCTAAACCGAACCAATACCACGGATCTAGCAGTCTGAAAAAGCATTTCAAAAACCGAACCATTGTTCAAAATTAATGTAAACCACTCAACCGAACCAACCTAAATCCACAAGTGGTTTACAGCTCTGGATCTATCTAAGAAACTCGATTTCATAATTCCTATAAGATGCAGGGTGGAGGAATAATGTTATTGCCCTTTACACAAGAACAAATCTATTGTTTTTGTTTTTGATTTGCTTAATAGTGTCGGGTCGTAGTACGAAATATGTACGATTCTCTCTCGTAAGCAAACTATGTTTCGGAACGATGAGACCATAGGTATGTGGAGTTCTCTTACAAATATTGTTGGACAAAGTAACAGGCGGACTCACAAGATAAAAGATGGAGCTGCTGCCAATGTTTCGATGTATTTTGTGGACTAATCCAAATATAAACTGCCCTCCACACATTGTGGAGAAAAATGCATGTGCTTTTTTGTTTCAGCCACTTCCGCGCATAAACTGTCCGTCGTGGTGTAAAAGAAACGTTCCTTCAATGCCTGGCTTTATAGCTGCGCACATGAAACCGTACTTGTTTTGCTTAGTTTTGCTTTTATTTTTAATTTTGGTAATTTATCTCAGATTAGAAATAAAGCTTTTACAGACAAAAATCAATTGAATATGAGGGTGGTGTGAAAAATGAAGGAAATAATTCTTTACATAAAATATAACGGATTTACAATTAAAATGGATAGTTTTAACACAAAAGCCATTTTAGTTTACTTGTAATGACATCCACATACTCATTGCATTACCAGTAAGCTATAAAATACGTATTTATTCAATATTTACAGGAAAAACAGCCTAAATTCATTAGACCATGTAATGAGTAACAGAGTGAGTACTTCCGGATACAAAACCTTCGAATCAGTGGCTTGGTGTGTCCGACTGCCAATCAAATTCTACCCCTCCATCAAAATAGCACAGTAGTTGCACTCTAATCCAACTCTAGTGTTCCAAAATAGCAGAAGAACCTTTTTATTTATATTTCCTATAACATGTCCACGTCAAAAAGGGGGCTGTAAGTAGTTACTGGTGCTAACATGTACATTCTAAACCCTTTATTTGGCAATTTTACAGTCCACCTACACATTATTTGAACTTGTTCAACTTTGTTTTCTGTCTTATTTATAGAGAGGGAGAGAGAGAGAATTTTTCGATTGATACCGCCAAATATGCCTCATAGAAATAACATCGTTATAAAATTTAGATCGAGTTTCAAGTTCAGAAATGTCGGTACCTTTCTCAAAAACAATCAAAATTAAAATGTAAATGATCGACCTCATGGAAATCATCTGATTTTGTTGGTTTGGTTATATTTGTTCCAGATATAAATAATATGGCCCCAATTCTTTGGCATTCTGCAATTGACACCACACCCTCGTACAATCCATGGTACATTAAAGTTAAAGCTCTTTGCTAATTCTTCAACGTTGTCCAGCGTCCTAAAGCTTACACGCTTCACTGCCAGTAGTTTATAAAAGAGTGCGTCTGTGGGCAAATCTAAAAGATTTTTAAAAAAGATTTTTGTTAAATCGCATCGTTAAATCGATCAATTGCTAGCCGCCGCTGTAGCCCAGCTCTCAATAAACAACATAGGAAGCATGTCGGTGTCTGTAATGTATTCTCTGGCGGTTTTACTGGCGGTCTCCCTGACGGCAACGTTGGCATTCCCTGACGGAGCTCCCTCAGATACGTGTGTAAAAAAACGACCCAACCAACCGAATCATGGACAGGCTCGATCGCAACCACTCGACAGTAACCCCTACAATGTGGTAGCCGACTCGGAGCATTACCACCCCGGCCAGGAAGTTTCAGGTGAGTGGAATCCTTTGCCCATCGGTATCGGGAACTTCTAATTACATTCAACTAACATATCCCAATGCCGTACAGTGGTCATATATTCCCACACAAAGCAAGAGTTGTTCCGGGGCTTCTTCATACAAGCGAGAGACGCCGATTCAAATGAATGGATTGGAGAATGGCTGCACAGCGAAAATACCAATACAATACCGGAATGCTCTGCCATTACGCACGGAGACAATCGTGACAAACTCGCCGCCAAGCTCATTTGGAAAGCCCCCCAAAACAAACGAGGTCGTGTCTACTTCACGTAAGTAGGAACTTCATATTCTCGAACTGTTCGATATTCTTTCGAAATTTTCGTTTGGCTTAACCATGCCGGTCCAGAAAATATACAAACAAACAAACAAACAGCATATTTTGCAACAAGCAAATGTTTTTAGGCCGACAACTCAGCACAGACTGACAAACTGGTTATGCCGACATGTGCCTTGTTCGGTCCGGGCCATCGGCTACTCACTCATATGTTGTACATCCATATGTGGCTGTGTGCTGCGTGTCTCAAAACGAAACACATTGGTCATAACTTCTTTGAAAGAAGTTTTAGATGAAATGTGTACCACAAACGCAGCAAAATATGTTTGTAGACATATATTCTCTGTGTATGTACGTGGATAGCTACATTCGCCAAAAAGCTCGCATTTTTTTAAATCAATCGTGGACGCATTACCGTCAAATTATGTTTTTCTAATATTTTCGATAGGCTATTGAAAAACCGTTTTCCAAAGTTAATGAATGAATTGGTATAACTGACGAGCACACCAACTGAAAGGGCGTTTGGAACAAACATGAAAAGTTATCCGAATTATATTTGTTACATACAAACGGAAAAGTCAAACAATTGTAAAAAGTGCAATATTTTAAACAATAATTCAAAAATGCTCAGCTCCAAATTCAAAGTTTTGTGTTTAAGTGTTTTTTAAATATATTCTGGTTATGATTGGTACCACAACGGTTGCATTGCGTACATAAATGCTTTACAAAACAGCTGAAATGCAGCCCAGTGCATAAATCATCTTCCTGTCAAAACTATTAAAAAAAAATCAAAATTAGACACAACAAGTTGTATAAGCTATTTAATATGCTTCCTCATTTTTCTTTCAAAAATTGGATCCAAACTGTTCAACAAAAAAACATTCTAAAATGTTTTACTTTTATTTTTCAAAACAATAATTATTGACTCCATTTCAATCAGCCAATACAAAAACTTTTGAACAATCTTAAAATAGTATGCACACTTATGTATGTAGAGGCCTCAAAAGGTTGACGCTTTATGGGGGATGCACCGTAGGAATATATAGGTATGGGGTAAATATTATAACAATAAGTTCTGCAAGCATTTATTGTTCCCTTTTCTAAGGACAGACACTATTCAAATTTGTGGTAATCGGTTCAGATTTGGATATAACTTTGCACGATTGTGCACCATCCAAAATAGATATTTGGTCTATTCGGCCGAACATCCGATTTAATATTTATGTCCCCACAAAGCCACAATATACAATCCATGAGAGTGTTACTTTCCCTCTAATTTGACGTAAATGGTACACCAGCCATGATGATTCCACAACAATTTATGCAAGATGAGTGGTATATTAGGTGCCTTCGTTTACTTTTCCGATAAGAAAAAAGGAAAAGCAACTAAGTGCTCAGTAACTGATAACCGAGCATAAATTATATTTTTTCTTAGGAGTAAATATTACAAAAAGTAAAATAACAACATGTTGTAAAAACAACAAAAGAAAAACACATTTTTAATGCTCGATTTAACACCTAAATCAATGAAGGGGTTGCCAATCGTTGTTAGTTACATATGTGATTTTGCTTTGTTTTTAGTTTAAATTATGGTCCGAAGGTGAACTAAGTCGACCCAAAGGTGAGAATACGTTAAAAGCTGTTTTGACTGACTTAAGTAATCGGCTGGCTTCTTTGTAACAGAAGAAAGAAGCTTTAGGTTGATTAGTTCGATATCGGCCCCTAACTAATGCTTGTTAACCCTACGCTCCTTTGACTTTGTATGATTGTTTGTTCGTTTGTAATTGATGGACTCGAAAACCGCAGAACAGATTTTCCTGAAAATTTCCAAGAATACAACAACATCGCTTGAAAGTAACATAGGCTATATAAGTTTTTTTTTTCGACCGATTTCGATGACATATGGCCTGAAAAAATCGTCTTTATATTCTCAACCTTATGTAACTGGGCTGGAGGAACAACACTCAGTAGTAATTAGTCCAAATTTTTTGGGCTAACGAAAACTTATATTTTTAATAAAATAAAAAATAACAATTTGAGTTGAGTTAGATTTAGATTTAGATTCAGGCTACATTAAACATGATGTTAGAGTCATATGTAGAGCAACTTTATCCGCAATTATCTGTTGCATTTTACAGCATTATTTTAGACGCTTCTCAGGATATTTTATGAAAAAAGAAAAAACTTTACAGTATAGTATAACTCGTCTCTCTAAAGACCAAAACGTAAAGTGCAAAGAGTTATTGAACAAAACTATTCATAGATTGAACCATGGTACAATGATATCAAGGTAGGGCTATGAAACCATATGATTTTAATTTTATTATTTTCTTGGCTTAATATGTTATCTTTATTTGTTTATGTGTGTGTGTTTTTTTAATAACAAAAAAATTGTTCAGAAAACATTCAAATTCGGGTGTTTTCAAAATGTTTATTTCAACGTATGCATCGACAAAATCTAGAGTTTTTGTAGCGAAATAATCCTTTAGAGATATATAGTACATGATTTTGAAAATAAGTGTTGACCTTTCATTCAGTTATCGCGTTTTTCAATTATTTATTCAAAATAAATGCAACAAGTTGTTTGATTTTTTATTGTTTTGATACTAATTCTGACATTAGGTGCATCTGGTTACTTTTCCAGCAGGAATTGTCCAGCAACTTCTTTCTGAGAGAGTAAGGTAGTTTTATTCTCTTTTGCAAGGAAAATGCGAAAAGGAAACAGACGGTATTTCTGCAGAAGCTTGCAACTAATCAGCTGATTTTTCAAAACAAACCAATTTGTCCCCCATTAAAAGAATTAAAACAAACGAATCAATACTAATTTTACAAGTTTTTTAAATAAAAAGGAAGTTAGCAATAAAATAAAAGTATGAGCAGTAAAATAAAGATAGATTTGATGTGTTCCCAGGAATCCTTTAAACGTGTTGCTAATGGCTTTTGTCTAAAAATGTTGGAAATAGTCTTTTATTTTATTCCAAAAACTCCAAAAACAATTAGATTAGCTAATTCCAAAAAAAAATATTTTCAAATTGAAAGAACAAAAAGAAATAAACAAACAATATAAAACATCTGATTGAATGTCGATGAATGAGAAGAAGAAGAGTTGCAAGAGATTGCAAAAAGAAATTTGTCCAGCAAGAATTTGCAAACTCTCACTGAAAGAACTGTCAAAATTTCTCTCTCCAACCGCTCTCTTTTGCAGAACTTTTGGGTTAACAGACGACTTCCAGTAACAATTTGTAACAATTGTTACAAATTTTAGGGTAACCAGACACACCTATTACAAGCCAAACAGGTAGACCTCTATACTTGGAATTTTTTCAAAGTTGGCCTACCGTATCTTCATTGTACCATGGATTGAACATTATTTTTTTATTTACGTTATAATATACAGAAATAGTTATTCTCTTCGAAATTGAAAAATTTCGCAAATATTTCAATTTTACTTGTATTTTCCCTAGGTCTATCCGATTTGCTGTATATCGATGTAATAGCGCGTTTATATAGTCAATGTTGTTACGATTGGCCAATTATCAGGGTTAACCGGGAATAGCATTTGTTATCAACTTATTTTATTTATTTTTTATAAAACATCAACAAATCTGTAATGAAATATTTTATTTATTTGAGTAGTTTGATTCGAATGCTAGGCAATATTGATGTTTCAGAATGCTAGCAACATAATAATAAACATCAAGATGCAATTTTTATTTTCCCTTACATTATCCACAGTTCTTTTTACGCCTGTTTTCTTAATTTACTGTGTTTTGTCTTTTATTTTTAATTGCAGTGGAACAGTCCTACAAAGCTACGGAACTTTCTGGAGTGACATTATCGGAAAGGTCCAACGACATCAGTGAATTGGACATTATTTATAAATGAATGCTTAAATGTGTATTGTAAAACGAAGTGGTGAAATATTCAAATGCAACATACTGTGTCTGTTCGTAAAATGTCGGTCATATTATTGTAATAAAATATAACAAAAAATATCGTTAAAAACTGTCTTGGCATAAAAAGGTCATGGGGTCCAAACGTAATATGCTTTGTTCCAGAATCTGCAGGAATGTAAAAATGTCACTACGATAAAAAGTTTTCCTATATGAACACAAAAAAGTAAAATAGCTGTAAGTTCGGCCGGGCCGAACTTTGAATACCCTCCATCATTTGGAAAGAATTTGGCAATTCTTAAAAACAATAAAATCCGTTAAAAAGTCTGTTGAAATCTTAAAAATACCGAACGTAGCTATTATATTAGGGTCTATACGACGACATGAACCTGCGTAGGTAACATTTGTCATAAGCCATTACAATATTCAAATGCGAAACTTTAAAAAAATCGTAGGCTGTAGTATCCATTATGAATTACAAAATATCAAATTTGAAACAATTCTGGTGAAAAATGTCCCTAAAATCGTTCAATTACCGAATATCGGGAGGTGCTGTTATATGGGGCTATACGTGACGTGGACCTACACAGACAATTTTCTGTCTTAGGCTGTAGTGTCCATTACGAACTTAAATACCAAATTTGAAACAATTCCGGTGAATAAATTCGCTAAAATATTCAAAATACCGAATATCGGGAGGTACCGTTATATGGGGGCTATACGAAGACGTGGACCTGCACAGACAGCTTTCTGTCATAGGTCATTACGAACTTCAAATACCAAATTTTAAACAATTCTGGTGAAAAATGTCCATAAAATCATTAAAATACCGAATATCGGAAGGTACCGTTGTATGGGGGCTCTACGAAGACGTGGACCTGCACAGAAAATTTTCTGTCTTAGGCTGTAGTATCCATTATGAACTTCAAATACCAAATTTGAAATAATTCCGGTGAATAAATTCGCTAAAATCATCAAAATACAGAATATCGGGAGGTACCGTTATATGGGGGCTATACGAAGACGCTGACCTGCACAGACAATTTTCTGTATTAGGCTGTAGTATCCATTACGAACTTCAAATACCAAATTTGGAACTATTCCGGTGAATAATGTCGCTGAAATCATCAAAATACCCGATATCAGAAGGTACCGTTATATGGGGGCTATACCAAAACGTGGTCCTACATGGCCCATTTTCAATACCAAAACTCCTGCAGGCATAACATACATTTTAGCAAAATTTTATCAATCTACTTCAATTCGTTCGGAAGCTACAGTGATTTCCACAGACGGACAGACGTCGCTAAATCGACACATAATTTTATGCTGATCAAGTATATATATACTTTGTGGGATCTAAAATGTGTATTTCGAGGTATTACAAACGGAATGACAAACTTAATATACCCTCCATGCTATGGTGGAGGATAGATTCAATTCACTTTGGCATAGTTTTTTGACAATACGGGTCATGTATTTGAAATGTCATAATTTTCTTACATTTTATTTATCTTTTGTTCTACGATTTCAATCACAATAATGCATTTTGACATTCAATTTGATAGTCAGTTGGCTTGGAAAAGGTTAGTCTAACCGGATAACCTAATAAATAGACCATGGTCTCGTTCTTGACAAAATTAGTCTTCCAGCCCAACACTACATAGATCTTAGTAGTTAGTAGTGCGATTTTTTAACTATTCAAAAATTAATCAACGACAGTTATCAATAATAGGTATGAAAACCAGTTTGATCGAGCTTTAGGTCAATGACACCATGCTAGGTTTAATTAGGCAAATCACGCTGATAATGAAATTCAAAGAGTATTGGAAAAAAACAAAACATTGGCCTCCAATCTCTGATTTGTGTATATACAACACATATACAATCAAATGGTTCCAGAACTGCAAAAATGTAAAAGTTTTTACTACCATAATCGATTTTCCATTGATGATATCGAGGAAAATTGCAAAACTAATAGATTCTTGCAGGTTATGGAACAGAGTAAATATTTCCACAATGATATGTTGTCAAAGAAATAATTAAAAAAAATGTGGATTTTTTTAAAGAGGCCATTACAGATTATTTAAAATGCTTTAAAAATGTTTTTATTGTAAAATATTAAATACATGCATGCAATTCAATTAATGGGAGTTAGTTATTTTGTTCATTGAACATATTCATTATTTTGTTCATTAAACCCACAGTTGTTTTTGAAAAAGATGTTTATTAAAAAAATTGGTTTCGGAATGGCTTCCCCCTTATAAGTTATATCCAAGTAACGATCATCAGTTAATAGAAAACTAACCAAAAATATCAACTCCAAGAAGATCAACTCAACCTTACTAACATACTTTAAAACATTCAATTATTTAATGGAATATTTTAATGGAGTTTGACTTTATTGGACACATTGGTATTTAACTTTTGTGGTGAGTAAAATATTATGCGCAAAAGCAATAAGAAAATACACTGTCTGTTTTTTTTTTCTAAAATTATTTGTCAGAATTTAGTAGGGTCCCTCAAATATTTCTGAATTCTAAAAGAATGCTACATAAATTTAGCTGAATTTAGCACTTCCAAAAGTTTTTTTGTCTTGCAACAATTTCCTTAAATGTCTTCGATTGACAATTTATTTTCTATAACAATTTCACTGCAGGACAATGTGGACATATTTTTGCCTAATAATTGAAAAAATAAGAAAATTATTACATGGTGAAGCACAGCGTGTTGTCGCATAATATAATATAGTCGTATATTTCATGTTTCTAAAATTCCAAAATGTAGAATAGTTTATTTACATACACATATTGGTTTCACTTTGAAAGGGTATTGCGTTTTCCACGATTTTCTAGCGATTGCTCACAGCAAACAACTATACTTTCAGAGAAAAAGCATTAAAATAAAATGTTTTAAGAACTATTCTTCCGTATTTTAAATTCAATAATCCATTTCTGTTCCAGAACCTGCAAGAATCTACAAGTTTTCCAATTTTTCCGAAAAATCGGTTATCTTAGTAAAAAGTAAAAAGGAAAAACAAATTTGTATGTTGCTGTTGTTACGCTTGTTGTGCAACAACACTTGCTGTTACCTGTATTATTCTACCATGAACAACATTATAGTTGTTGTTAAATTGTTAGTTGTTGTAATCCATGCATATACTTTATAATAAATATATCTTGGGCAATACTGTTTCCAACCAGTTAATGTGGAAGAAATTGTGCACGGTAGATAAGGAACATTCTATTAACCCTTGTTATCGGCTAGACGGACAATCGTGCGCGCTTACAATTTATTCGTTGATAACGCTCGTCAATGGAACAAGTTATAAATTAACACACATAGGTTCGCAAAGATGTATTTATATTGCTTTAGTACAATACTCTACCAAAAGATAACATTACGATCGTTTTCTGGTGTGGACGATGAACGTTTAATTATTTGGGTTCTCTCAAGAAAACGATGTCAGGTTGTAAAAAAATAATTACTATTTTGAAATAAGAACACAATCTTAAAGAAAAGACCAACTTTCTGCCATGGGGAAATCCTCATAATATATTGAGTACAAAAACAAACTAAACGATTAGGATACCAGCCATGCTAGGTCGAAATTTTCATAATTCTTGTAACCATTCCGTTCGCATTTGTCGAACGCCCCATACAGTGGGAGATAATACATTAAAACTTACCTTATCGAAGGAAGCATGACATAATACAATTATATGCGATGAGACTAACTCTATTCATTTGTCAGTTTGTGAAAATCATGTTACTTATTAACTTTTCAAAAAACGTACCAAATCGGAAGACCATTTTATACTACTGGGATTGTTATCTATTGCGAATCTTAAATACCAAATTTGCATGCGTGGGTAAATGCATGGTAGAAGAATACAGGTAGATGCATCAAATCTTTAGAACATTGATATGTTTGAAATTTCAATTTTTACAAATTCGAACCATTTTTCATTCAAAATTTTCGATTCTGAAATTGGTTTGGCAGTTCATTGTTCCATCAGCTGTGTTCATATTTCTACCTTTATTTTTCTACCATGGATAAATGTGACTAGGGTTTTCAAAATACCGAATATCGGTCTATATATCAATTACTGAACCGTTGTATGGAAACCGTTAACCAATATGGACAATGATTTGACACCGTGTGTATGAACCTAGATATTCAATGTTCTGTCAGCGGAGCTAGAACCTATTACGAACTACATATACAAATTTTTGGACAAAAATGTGGCTAAACCATCAAAATAATGAATATCGGGAGGTACCGTTATATGTGAGCTATACGAAACGAAAACATGGGACTATCCCAAAACCATGGACCGATATATCTCATCCTTCCATCCTAGACACAATACAAACTAATGTGCCAAATTTAGCTCTACGTCAAATAATGTAGTCTGTATCGTGATTTAAACAGACAGACCGACATCGTTAAACTATTTAGAATGTTATGCTGATCATGAATATATATAAACGGAATAACAAATTTAATATACCCTCCTTTCCAAGGTGAAGGGTGTGGACCTGAAGTAAAATTTAGCTTTGTTATTATATTAACCGACGCCGTATAATGCTAAAATAAGATAATATAAATAAATGTATAAAAAACAATAAAATGCATTCCTTTATTATTTCACTCACCACTGTTTCAAAATAAAACTTTCAATACATTGTGTATAGGGTACTAGAACTAGCCGTGGAGCATAGGTTTACTGTTTATTTATTTATTTAACAAAATAATGACATTTATTCTAAAACTCACCAACTTTCTATGCAAAAGCTAAACTCGTACAGCTCACATTTATACGGCAACCCAGTTTCGAACTGCGTTTAACTTCTCGCGATTGTTGGAAAATGTATTTGGGGAACTACCGAAAAGCTAATTTATCACAAATTTCCATAAATCGCTAAGTGAGATATCTGAAATTGGTAATAGAAGCCGATCTACAGTTTAGAACATCATAAAACGGTTCAAAACAGATGTATGTGTAGAAAATAAGTCAAAAACGGCAAATAATAAGACATTTACCTTGTCAACTACAATGGAAGAAGAGCTAAACGGCCTTGGCGAAGAATATTATTTTCATCAGAAACACAGGGCTTATAAAATGCGGTCATTGCTGCTATATAATTTCCCCACGTCATGGATACACCAACCCAGACTCCAGACATAAACCCCATAGAGAATTTATAGAGCAATCTCGACGGAAAAATCCGTCAGCATAGCAAAGAATATTTGAAGAAAGCTGTGTTGGAAGAATGGCAAAAAATTGAACCTAGCTGTAAATTGGGATCAATTAAAAGACACAAAGTCTTTTCCGTTTGAGCGTTTGTAAGACACTGAATTTATTTATTAAAAACATTTCTTAAGAACTAGTTGTGATAATATGACTTAACCTAAATTATAACTAAGTGTAAATGAGAGAGAGAGAGATAGATACCAACCGTACACATGCATATGCACCATGCCACCATAAACCTTAGGGGGAGGTCATACACACGCATAGCTATCTCACATGTGGCAAGCAAACATGCTGCACTTGCTTATCAGTCTGAGTAAAGATTACGTCCCATAATCTAACTCCACCATAACACATGCAGCAATTGAAAATTCTGTATTATTTATTTCTAACTCGAAGGTCTGCTCACCACATTTTCTTATCGTATTTTATGTGGACTGTATTAAGAAGATCCCAGTTTAACAAATCCCTCTCATCTACACTAGGTAGCCCCGCTATTCTCTTTTATTATAAAAACATGTTCACTTATCCGTGAACATTCTTGGCAGGGGCAAAAATACATATAAAATATAAAAATTACAAATATGAACAATAAAATAGATCTAATAGAAGTGACATTTTAAGAGAAAAGAAGTTAAGTTATAACACCCAAGTAACTCCTCCATCTTTCCAGCCTGGCTCTCTTGAACATCCCTCCTCCTTTATCTGCCGGCTTCAATTTCCAAGCCGAATCCTTTTTATCTGTCGTCTTCTTTCTGTAGCCAAAGTTTCCATCCTTCTCTGGAAGCGCCGTCTGACCGACCTTGGACAGTTTATCGTTCCAGCGTTCATAATTTTCTGTCACCTCGGCTTGTATTTTATTCGCTGCACCACTTCCACTAGGCATCTTCATCACAACTTGACCGTCTTCCAGCATTTTATTATTCCAGCGACGCATATTGCTTTTCTTCTTAGTTTTCATCTCGCTGGCAAACAGTTTATCTTCGACTTCTTCCAATCTCCCTGTGTCCAGTTTTCCAGAGACCTGTTCATCTACCTTTTCCAAAGTTGATTCCTTTTTGGCAATTGGGTCTTCCATATTAACCTCTTCAACCATCATATCTTCGTTGATATTGACCACTAGTTTTGCAGCCAATTCATCAGCCTCGATTTTGGATGCTTTCTGCGATATGAGCAACTCTTCCTTAAGTTGCAATACTTCAGCCTCCAGCAGAAATATCCTTCTTTCTTTTTCTTCACCAGCTTCTAGATTTGCAGCCAACCCGTCACGTTCGGTTGCAGCTGCAAGTCGTTCTCTTTTTGCACAAGACAACTCGTCACTAAGTTGTCTTATTACCGCATTCAACGCCTTGCCCTCGCGTTCTGCCTCCTGGTTAGCCGCTCGTAATTTGTCCTTAGTATCCTCGGCTACACACACAGCATTTTCGACTTCCTCCTTCAATTTGGAGACAAGTTTGAGGGCATCTTCTTTTTCATCTTTCTGTGAAATCAAGGCAAAGTCCATTTCCTTAATATCACCTTCCATTTTTCTCATTACGGCTACCGCTGCTTCGCGCCCCTCTCGCTCGACGTCCAATTTGGATGTTATGCAGGCCACTTGTTTCTTCAAGCCAAGGACTTGCTCTTTGGTCTCCACATTAAGATCCTGCGTGACTTTAAGGATGATCTTAACATCTTCCAAATACAGCCTCGCTGTCCCATTCGGCTGACTTGCTCTGACAGCAGCGGCTAGTTTGGACTTCTTTAGAAGCATCTCTAAAAAGCGCCTATGAACGCATGGATGCAATATTACGTCTCTTGCCGCGTCCATAATTTTTTCTTTGGCGAAGTCAAATACGCCTTCTATGGCTTCTTCTGTCTTTAAGGTACTCATTATTTCCATAATTGTACCCATCATTTCGAGAAGAGTGGCAGCCTCTTCCTTTATTTTCATCATTGGCGGCCGTTTCACCGATTCGTCCTCCTGGGCATATGCATCACCCCTTCTGTCTGAAGATTTCAAATATGAGGCACCCTCGGTGTGCACCGCCACCACAGTCTTCTGTGCTGAAGTTTCCTTCTGACTCAGCATCCTTTTATTTGGCTTATAAATTTCTTCTGTATGGGAACAATTCCAGCTGCAGTTTTAGCTCGGTAATTTTCCACTCTTGAAGACCAATTTTAGCCTGACAGAATTTCCTCGATGTTAAGGCAAATTCTTCAACATTTATCCTCTACCGATCCGGCTCGGTGGACCAATGTAAATAGGGATCATTTAATTAAAAGACGCAACGTCTTTTCCGTTTGAGCGTTTGTAAGACACTGAATTTATTTATTAAAAACATTTCTTAAGAACTAGTTGTGATAATATGACTTAACCTAAATTATAACTAAGTGTAAATGAGAGAGAGAGATAGATACCAACCGTACACATGCATATGCACCATGCCACCATAAACCTTAGGGGGAGGTCATACACACGCATAGCTATCTCACATGTGGCAAGCAAACATGCTGCACTTGCTTATCAGTCTGAGTAAAGATTACGTCCCATAATCTAACTCCACCATAACACATGCAGCAATTGAAAATTCTGTATTATTTATTTCTAACTCGAAGGTCTGCTCACCACATTTTCTTATCTTATTTTATGTGGACTGTATTAAGAAGATCCCAGTTTAACAAATCCCTCTCATCTACACTAGGTAGCCCCGCTATTCTCTTTTATTATAAAAACATGTTCACTTATCCGTGAACACTAGCTTTTGCGAAAAACCTGTTAAAAGTATAGGAAATAGGCTACAAATGGCAAAAAAAGTAAAGGAATGCATACAAAATATTAATGTCTTGACATTGAAATACGAAGTTATACGAAAAATCAACATTTGTTATTACCTGTACGAGTTTCGCTTAGAGCTACTGTACTTTGATTGGAAGACTTCTCTCAGCTCTCCTCGTGTTTTGAGCACATTGAACACGCGTGTACATACTTATGTGTTGTATGTATGTATGTTCGCTGAATGCACACATCGAACGATCAGAATTACTTACCGATGTTGTTTTTATTTTTACAATTTAATCAACAACAATATGAAATGTCCAGAGCGCGGCGAGTACGATGACACTTGCCGACTTGACGAACCAACATTCTACAAAAATATGGCCCCAATCCCCAATCAGTTACAAAAGTGGAGCTCATCGTGGCGGTCGTCGACTAGAATTTGAAGCGGTAGACATCGATACGCACTTCTCAAATAGGAAGGACCAGTTTGAACCATGGTTATCAACTTCGCTGCAGGCCCAGCTAAACTACCCGAAGAGGTAATGATTGGGTTGATTCTCATCTATTGAATACTAATGCAGCTATATTTGTTATTCGCTTAACCGCAATTTGCATATTGCAGGTTTTACAAGAGGTACAAAAGAACTTGTTAAACTACAATGGCTGCGGTATTTCAGTTATGGAAATGTCGCACCGCTCCCCCTCATACGCCAAGATCCAGAAGGACGCCATTAGTAGCTTGAGGGATATTCTGAGCATACCGGACAACTATAAGGTGTTGTTTATGCAAGGGGGAGGATGTGGACAATTTGCTGCAGTGTGTATGAATCTTATAGGACGGAGTGGTAAGGCTGATTATGCTGTCACCGGCTCCTGGTCGGCGAAGGCTGCAAAGGAGGCTAGTCAGTATGGACAAGTGAATGTGGTATTTCCGGCTTTGGGCAAATATACCACTGTTCCGCCTTTAAACACTTGGAATCTAGACCCAGAAGCATCGTATTTATATTATTGTGACAATGAGACTGTAGACGGTGTTGAGTTTGATTTTGTACCCGTCCCTCCGAGCAACGTTCCATTGGTGTGTGATATGTCGTCAAACTTTCTGTCACGTAAGATCGACGTCGAGAAATACGGTGTTATTTTCGCTGGAGCTCAAAAAAATATTGGCCCATCTGGAACGACTGTTGTCATTATAAGAGAAGATTTAATGGGATACCAGACTAAGGAGACGCCTTCTGTTTTCAACTACGCATTAATGAGCAAAAACGATTCATTGTTTAACACACCAAACACATTTGGGTAAGTTTGAGCTTTTAAAACAACGTTAGAACGAATGTGAATGGAACCGCTATCAAATAATGCACTTCTAAATCTAATTAACAAAAGATCTACAAGAAAAAGGCTGGCTATTTAAATTTAAGTATCAACGCATATCATTTTGTCACGATGCCTGCAAAAATTTATAATATTCTCATGCTTATGTTATTCTATTATTTTAAATTTCAGAATATATGTAATTGGTTTAGTCTTCCAATGGATTCAACGTAACGGCGGGATCGAAGGCATGTCAAAAAATGCCCAGAAAAAATCAGAGCTCATATATGATGTCATAAACAAATCAAATGGATTTTATTACTGTCCAGTAGACAAAAATGTTCGTTCACGTATGAATGTACCTTTCAGAATCGGAGGACGGTCAGGTAACGATAATCTGGAAAAGGCTTTTCTTGCAAAAGCTGAAAATGAAGGAATGATCCAATTGAAGGGCCATCGTTCCGTTGGTGGCATTCGCGCATCGCTCTACAATGCGATCAAGGTCGAGGAAGCTCAGAAACTGGCTGAAGTTATGTTACAGTTTTATGAAAATAACAAGAAATAAAGTGTTTACATAAAACAAAGATTTTTTTATTTATAGTATTGTTTTATTTTTCACCTATAGTAATCCACGGGTCCTGAATGTATTATCCAATTGACGTTCTAAATGTTCGTTTGTTCCACGTAAATTGTCTACAACTTTCTTTGCCCATTTAAAGTACTCATCTCTACGTTCCTACAAATTGACGCAAGACTGACAAATTGTGGCACACAGGTCATGTAGCAAGAGAATTACACTAACCTCTGTCCAACCGCAGGGCAACGTTTTTTCAAGATCCCTCAAGTTGTCCAATTTGTCTGCTAATTTAACAAGTTTTGCCCTTCGAGTGGAGTTAGCAGCGTTCGTTATTTGAAGATCTTTCCTTACACCTTTGGGCAACGTTTTGTCATCCGTAACTTCGCGTACTATGGAACATACCTCAGGCCCGAATAAATTCTACAAAATATGTAAATATTGCTCAAAACACCACTTAATGAAATAATGAGACTGAAAACTAATGAATTGCCTCAATATCCTCAAATGTAGCGTCTGTGTCCTCGACTGTATCATGAAGCAAGGCCGCCATAAGAACAGTCATATCCTGTACGTGCGCCTCTGTCGACAGGATAGTTGCCACATTAATGGGATGATTTATATACGGCGTTCCACTGGTGTCTTTTCGGCGTTGGTTCCGATGTTTGTCGGCAGCAAACTGCAGACACTTCATAAACAACTCCATATTGCGCAAAAACTAGATGGGATGCAAAACAATCTATGGCAATAGCGATAGTATCGATTCTTTATTTTGGAGTGTCGCTTGATAGTTTTTTTTATCGATATTTTCATACGAAATGTCTGTGCTAAACACCAACGGATATATATGCTCTATTCCAGAACATGTCAAATTTTTACTACGATAACCGTTTTTCCCTATGATATCGAAAAAATGCAAAACTAGTAATTTCTAGCAGTTTCTGGAACAGAGCATTTATAGAGATCTACGGAGGTTAACTATTTGTTTGTGGACATATAAAACCTTTTTTCCCTAGCTGGGAAGCTTTTGTTTGCTGTTATTCTGTTTCAGTATCTGCAAGAATCCACTAGTTCTGCAATTTTTGTCGATATCGTAGAAAAAACTTTAACATTCTTGCAGTTCTGGAACAGACCAGGTATTAAGCAGTTTTGCCAAGGAACTGAAACAGTTTAAATCATATTTTCGAAATCCAGACATTCCATTCATATTTCGCGCTAATTAATTAATTTTAAAAATGACTAAAAATATTAAATGAATGAAAAATAAACTTGTAGCATATAATTTTGAATAATTCTGGCAGGAATCGAGCCCTGAGGTTGTATTACTGTAGTTTTACGAAGCTTTTCAACCCCCTTATTGTACTATGCTACTACGCATTACTCAAAAAGATCGGTTGTTCAACTTTAAAGAAACTAGAAAAATGCAACTCTGTGTTGGAGTCTTATAGTGTCAAATAGACTTTTAAATGTGCAACAGTTGCTTCTCTTTAATTTTCATTAAGAATAGAATTTTGGGGTTATTCCACATGATTGAATCTGAAATAGTGGGACAATACAGATTTGTTCCAAAATTGTATAATAAGTTTCCCATTAACGTCGAAAATATGCATTTATTTTGCAACCGAATTTGAAAAATTTCTTTTTTTTTAAATTATTGTATTTTTTATTCAAAACAATACACATACATACATAAAATGTGTATATGTTCTGACAGAAAAAGGGACAGGCATAAACAAGTATCACGCACAGTGTCGTTTGAAAGTGTTAGTTTATGTACCTAATTCGTATAGCGAACGAATTAGTTCAAATAATAATAAGGATAATGCAAATAGTCAAAATTAATTAATGCTTCGTTCCAGAAACTTAGGAACTAATCGGAAATCGTAATGACATTTTTAACGTTTTGCAGTCTGGAACAAAGTATAAGTGCATGATTTTATAGTCCAATTTATTGTGAGTGGTCAACTGTGAGGGTAAATTTGTTTAGAGATTTTGAAAGTAAACGTACTTGCAGTGTCAACTTGTAAACATCGCCCTAGCCCAAATGTAAACATGATATTAAAATTCGAAAAAGAAGTCGATTATTTTCTTTTCGTAAAAATCGATTTTATATGTACGATTATCGAAATCGAAGTCTATTTGCGTATCCCTAATTTCGTCGCATTCCATTCACAAATCAACTCCAGTTCCATTCCGCAGTGCAAATTTACGCCGTGTCCGTTGAATTTCACGCAGATCTACTTAGATCGCATTACGCATTTAATTATCCCATTAAATAACTACAGGTAATTGAAAGCACTTTATAATTCGTTAATATCTGTTTGAATTCAATTTGGAATCAATTTCCATGTTTTCCACTCGGTGATCATATTACACACGTATGTGTACTATATAAATGTTACGGTTAGCAAGGTGAATTCAAAGTCATAGCTAGCGGTGCGCTAGCCAGCGGATGATTCTGCGATTTGAAGGGTCTGTGTGAGTGTTACCCCTTCTAAGCTTACTAGCTCTGAGTCAGTTTATGATTAATGACTTGCACTGACTACTTATGAATATAGCTATTTCTGAACATCTGAGATTTAGATTATCAGATCATAAGCAAATAATTATACTCGAGTATAATAAATGCGTCAATTGGAGAACGCAAGATAAAGTTCGTTGCAACTCTAATTGGAACAAATGTTGTTTTGCCGGCATTAATTTCATATCAAAATAGGTTCGTTATAATTTTCCTGACAACCTGATTTACGCGCCACTGCTGATAAGAAGGGTGTCGTCACACCTTTGTTGTCCTTCCAGCCGGCATTCAAGGTCAAAAAAGTCATTTTTTATGCATATTTTCCAAGTTGGGGTTATTTTCATGTCAGCTGTTTTCCGTTTGTAAGTTTGAAATGTTTCAATTTGTTTTTAACACTGAAGCTTTTGCTCAGATAGATACTGGCATAACGTTAAGAATAAACACACATAATGTTAAGAATAAACATATATGCATACATATTGACATTTGCGAGGGTGGTATTTCTTCCAGAATTTGCGTTGCCACATTTGGTAATTTTTCTCCCAAACTGGGATTATATCTTCTGTATTGGGCATAAGTCCACACCTCATCACTCTTAATTCATTTCATACGAGTGGCACCGAAACACGTCGAGCGTAAGAAAGTTTAACGAGCTCAATATTGACAACTTTTTTAATACAAATTAAATAGAAACGAATAACATAGACAAATGAAAATATAGACAACGAAAAGCTCTCACCGTTTATCTTCGAAAAAATCGGATCAGCAGATGTCGTTTATATCGTTTCAGGGGTTTGAGTGGGAATTTTGAAGTCACTCAATTCAAAAATGTTTAAAATAACAAAAACTGTAGGATATTTGAAAAAAATACAAATCTAACTTTTCGTTGTCTATATTTTCATTTGTCTATGCGAATAATACAAAAAATGTTGACTGTTTGTAATTGAAGTTTGTATTTGTCTTTTCAATTTGGGTCAGTCAAATATCTATCGATATTTTAAAATGTGTTTTTCACGACAGTTGTTTTTGGAGATGTAACACTTAAGCTGAAAACTATTGCTATGTTCCAAAGTCTGCATTAATCTACAAATTTTGCAAGTTTTTCAATATCATAAAACAATAATCTTTTGTTGTGGTAAAATTTGTACACACTTGCTGGTTTTGGAACAGAGCACTTGATAATCAAATTAACTTTTGTAAGTTGAAGGCAGACACGCGCAATGTGGAGATCTAAAATACGTGAATACACGGAATACGTGGAAATTTATTTACATCTTCATAAGGTTTTCTAATCCAGGGAAATACAGAATAGGACTACAACGATGAAAGCTACTAATAAGACAAGTAGAGCAGATAAGTAGATAAGACAATGAAACCAAAGAATATAGGGTTGGTTCTGGGAGCAGATCCATGGTACATAAGGCGGTAGAACAGCTTCGTAAAACTACATAAATGCAGCCCTGAGGCTATGCCAACCAATTGCCGGGATTTTTTTAATATGATCCAAACTCTTCAATTTCATGACAAAACTGATTAATAGATTTAATGCGCGATCCGCAATGTACGTTTCCTCCCTCTATTATCCCAAATGTCCCCCATCACATGCGGAAGACTATTAAAAATATTAAAAAAAAAAATTGAAAAAAAAAGTTTAAAATTCAATATTTTATATTAGAAATCAATTCGTTCTGAGTACAATTGTAACCTTTGAAATTTCCAAAAACAGGATGCATTGCACATCTCTGTAATATTTGTTCTGTTCCAGAACGGAAAGAGTGTCAAACATACCTATGTAAAAACAAATACATATGTGACATTTCCAGTATAACCAGTTATTTCTTTCAACAATTTCCCCAACTATCTAAGAACATAATTAAAAAATTGGAGAATTTTCGAATAGGCGGAATAAAAAAATGGTCAAATACCACCCGGCAATGCAAAAATAACTTAAGGGCACAGTGTTAGTTTATGAAATGTATAAATAAACCTTCAACCGTCTGATACTTCGTACATAACCCAGTGGAATTCTGAACAAACACTTGTACATATTTTTTAACTTTTGTGTATCCAATTTGATACTTGGAATTAACATAATTCTTGCATACACCTAAGTCTGTTTTTACACGGTAGATTGGTTCCAGAAGAAGCCGTGTAAAAAAAACCGTGTAAAAAAGACATTGATCTTATACAAAAATGGGTGATTTGTTCCTAATCTTATTTTTTATTTTTTTCTTTACCAAACACGTCTTATTGCATTAACAGTTCACAAAATATTAACACGTTTCAATTGCTCTGACCAGTAAATTTTATTGTATGCACATAGTGCTATTCACATTTGCTTTGACCAGTAAAAATTGTTTGTACGCGCTAAAGGGGAATTCACTTAAATCTTTAAGCTAGTGTTCGCAAACTATCGATGGTTTCAGACTTTTTTCTTTCATAAATACTTTTTTGTGATATGAACATACTTCGCAAAAATTAAATTTGACAAAAAAATTTAAGTACATAAAATTTCAAATCGTGCTAAATGGAATAAAATCGTGTAAATAAATTAAAAATATTCAATTTTCAAACCGTGTTATATAAAAAACCGTGTACAAAAAGACCGAGTAAAAACAGACTTAGGTGTATTCTTATAATGGTTACTATTATTTTATACAAGTAAATATTTAACTTTTGTAATACATTAAAATTGTTATACTTTATTCTTTTTACTAATTGTTTTTGGTTATTTTAACATTAAAAGTACTAAGTAAGAAATTTTGAATGACTAAGGAAATGATTGCGATAATGTTTTTGTCCCTGTAGACCTTTTCTGTAAACCATTAACGACAGTTGATATTGTTGTAAAAATTGGAGCGAAATTGTCCTTTTATTAATTTTTTCAACAAAAAATTTCAATATTCGTTAAGAAAATGTTCAAACTTGAAAGTTTATCTACTCCCCAGTTTATCTACGTTTTCACACCTCTCGCTGCAACAATTTGAAATATAGGCTAGGTTGTCGATTGTCGGATTGTTTAAACTTTACTGAATAGCCTAGCCTTACAGTTCAGAGCATTTTTTTGTCATAGCGGTGAACTTTTCTCCCGTATAGCTGCGATTGTTCTCAGGATACGTACAAGTTTTCTGTTCTGTTGTTATTTTAACTTTTTACAAACGTCATTTTGACTGGCTAAATTCTTCCATCTAATTGCTAGCAGTTACAACACCGAACCACTGTGCCAAAGACGATGTGAGAACAGACATAAAGAATATTTTTATTCTCTTTGCTCTAAGTTTGTATGCCTTTTTGACAATTCTCGATTCCTCTGTGGTGGTTGATTATTAGTTGGTCGCTGGCCGTAACAACCGACGGATAAATCGCATCGAAAATAGTTTTATTCAAAATATTTGAATTCAGTAATTGTGTTTCAAATAAAATAAAACAATTTTATCGACTTTGAACGCATTGCGTTTGGTTGTCCTAGAAGGAATTTCAAGCAAAGCTAGATTTTTGTGTTGCGTTCGAATTCCGGAAGGCCATTCATCAAACGTTTGCCTATTGTATCCACAAGGAACTTTTGCCAGGAGAACTTTTCAAAGTCACATAGTCGCAATGGTGAACCCAACTATTTACGATGAAAATCCAAATTTTAAGGTATTCTTTGTTTTGCTAATTGATGTTTGCAACTGCATAATCACATACATATGGTGTTACAATTACACAATCAATTACTTGAAACATCCAAGCTCGAACAAATCAAAGCTTGCCCCTGAAGAACACTAGATTTCAACTTTGTGGAAATTTTTCTAGTTTCATCCCTTTACAAAATTATGCAATTCACGACATACGTTTCTCTAAGGGGTTGAAAGAGAAAGAAAAATAAAAAAGACAACAAGAAATCGATTGATGGTGGGTTGGTTTATTCTGTCCACAAAGGAAATCGTCGAATGTGCCATAGCTCCTTTTAACATTTCTCTCGACATTGTGGGAAGATATGAGCACTTCGAGATGAGCAGTGCGAGAGGGAGAGTGTAGTTCTGTATACTGAGGCAATTTGGCTTGTCACAACTAAAAATGTTTGCCAAGTCTGCACAAATATATTTGGTTTTAAAAATAGCGTTTTTAGAAAAATGTTATAGTTTTCGTGTAAACTAAAAGAATATTCAATTTGCAATTGCGGAAATAAAAGCTTGCAACGTCAACCATTCCTCATAGTTACGTAGTGCAAAAATTGTAAAAAAAAAATAGTTAAGATATAAATATTATTCAATCTTAGCTATGCGGATATGAGAACTATCTATGCAGAATTTGAGGAATTAATTTTAAAATAATAATGGCACTTCTATTCCTTGGGTTATAATCAGCGGTGTATGGAAATGTTGTAAGTTACAAGAATAACTGTAACTTAAAATAAACATTTACTTCCATGTTCCTAATTTACCACATACTATGTTGTACTATGAGGTGACTAAAAATATCACAATATCACAAACTACATCGGGTACTTTCTTAGTTCAAAATCAGACTTTGATTATTTTTATTGGACAAGTTTTGGACTTTTATGGGGAGTGGACTGATATTGCTCATCTCTGAAATCGATCTAAGTTTGGAAAACATTTTGTAATGTGCCAAGACATTTCAAATAATATATATACCCTCTTTAGGCATGCGGCTAAGGGTATGAAACTTTCCTGCCTTGAAATGTACGCATGACATTCTGTCCAGGAAAGAGAATAACCGGCTTTGTATCCTATAAAACACAGGTTTTGCAAGCTACGTAATTTGTTTTTATGACCTAAAGGCCTTGCATGATTATGATTAACCATATCCTCTAGCATTACATCAATAACTTCTAGAGTTCACGAAGGGTCGGTAGTGGGTCAATGTATCTATATATATAAATGTAAGTTGTGTTAGTTACTACGCTTATAACTTAAGAACCGCTGGATTAATTTTAACGATTCACACAAATTCGGAGTTGTCTACTCTCCGAAAAGGATAATATCCAAAAAAAATCGCGTAAAAATGTGATATATTAACATTTTCATTTTGACTTTTCAAATGTACAATAGTAATGTTTTATTTTGCATGATTTTTTTCCATTTTGACTTACTTTTTTCTAATGTACATTTGTAGTGTTTTTTTATATTTTATTTTTGAATTCGAATATTTATACCAATTTATTTAATTGACTTGATTTCTTGAGAACTGAAATTGATGGCGGGTTACATGGAAGTGTAGTAGCGAATTATGTGGTGGCGAAACGGAATAGATGATATCGAAATAATTTAACGCGGTCACACCAAAGTTAAAAGATAATTACTTTTTCTAAATCGCTGAAAAATCATGAAAAAGAGATCTCATTGCAAAAATCAAAAAAACATTTTCAATGGAATCGAATTTTAAAGTAATAGTACATTCTATTGACAAACTTTGTAAGGAAGGATCTTAAAACATTTGCTGTAAAAAATCAGCGAAAAAGTTGAAGACTTTTTCAATTTGTTATTCTTTTTTTTGTCAATTTTTTTTTGTGAACAAAATAAAGAATAATTTTTCACTAAAAAAATTGAATAAGTGCGAAATAGGATGTTAACTGACATCTACCTTTCAACTCCAGGGCTTACATCGTGGGTTAGCTGGAAGATGCGAACACGTTTAAACAAACAAAAATGACCGAAAAAGCTTAATGGGGCTCATTTCAAAGCGTGACAATGATCCGTCCAATGAGAGCTCAAAATGCAAAATTCTTTGGGAGAATAATAAGTAATATACCAATATTGAAATAAAAGGTGCAAAATAGTAGAGCGAATGGGACTTTTAGTAAGAAAAGGTTTTATATCCTTCCAGAAATTCTTCCCAAACATTCAAAATACCTAAAATCACTTTTGCAGGTCTTTATATCGATCATAACTCATGGATAAGGGAACAACCCGATTTCATATTTATATAACCATCTATGATTTAAGTTATTTTTGGGGTCTTGGCCGGCCACTTTTTTCATTTTTGGGCCCTTATTTGACATTTTTGTTTCTAAGGGGGTAGATAACCTCTTCGCATAAAATTTGAAATTTTCAGAGTGGGGCCCATATTGGTATTGACCACATTCATCAATTGATTTGGCTAAAAAATTTTATTTATGCCACCCTGGGGTGGGGAACCATCATACAGATAATTGCCACATAGGAATTTATTTAAGTAAAGTCCCCACATTGGAGTATCCCCAAGTCCACTTTCACATCTAATGTGTGGTCAGAAAAGAAAATTTTGTATTCTATTGAATTTTTAACCCCCAAGAGAATATTGGTTGGGAACGTAGATTTGGGATGTGCATCCATATGAAATAAATTGTGGAAACATGAACAAATTACAAATATAAGAAAGTAGCACGGGACCGAATATTTGTTTAATCATCATTGAATTATCCTATGATGAAAATATGGACTTTAAGGGGTCTCCAACTTACAATTTAAATGGCAAATAAAATTAATTCCCATCTTATCATTCTGCCCTCAATTATGAGGTGGATAAAACTATTTTTACTTATTTAAATCACGCGAAATGCTATGACATGCTATATTGTTCTGCTATATTTTTGATTTGGCCTCTATTTGTCATCTTGGATTATAAGGGGTAGAAGAAAGTTTTCAATGTAGGTCGATGTTTCGGAGTAGTGCCCATATAAAGAAGGTACCTCCTAATTTAACCACATTTCAAAGAATTTGGCTAATAATGCGTATTAGGGGGGTGAAAATCTTACACTAAAATTTCAACATATCTACAAATTTTAGAATTTTTATCCATGTTATAATACCCTCTCAAGTCCACCTTTTGGCGGACAAACAGACTGACATGGTTAGGGGGACTTATGAGGACTCTAATGCACAATCTAAGTTGCTAATGGGTTTAAAAAAGTAATTAACTTTGGCTATTCTTAAATCATTCAGCCCTCAATTATGTAGTATACAAAATACAGCAAATTCCAAATTACTGCTCATTTGACTGGAAGATTTTGCTACGATTTTTACCATATTAAAAATTAATTTGATCCCTTATATGGCGATAAGATTGATATATACTTTTTAATAGATTTGTATAGCACATTCACACAGTTGAAGCCCACGGTTTAAATATTGAAGCCCACTGGTTAAAAATGGGTACAGGTATTTTAAAACACTTTAAATCGACCTGTACGTGAACACTTATATCAGTCATATCTGTGAATAATTATGCTTGGGAATATATGCATAATAGACAAAAACTACGGGCCGGCAACGCGGACCGGGCCAGCTAGTATATTATATATGCATGATTAATAATGCTTTAAATAATACTGCTATGAAAACAATGGCAATTTGTTCATTTCAATGGTACTCATGATATTGAGTTCATTTGTATAGGACAATCATGTGTTGATATATACAGGATAAACATAGATGTTGGGGGTTAATTTTCAGTCTAAGGTTTACTTAATTTAGTAAGTATATTTTTCCACACATGGGGTTAACTTAACTGTTTATGCCACACATTTAATGTACTCGAAAATTTATATCTTCTATACTTTTATAGGCAAAGAAGGTTTTAATATTACTGAATAAATAAAAATAAAAAATACAAATAAATAAAAAAGTTGGACTAATTATATACTTTAGTTGCTCCAATACATTTTCCAATAGTGACCAATTATCGAAATAAAAAGAGTAACAGTTTAAATAATTCTTCCGCAAAATATCACAGATTGAATTCATTTTCGCGTTTAAATTGTATAATGTTAAAGCAGATATGAATTGCACTGGTGTTGATTGCAAACGAAGGGTGAGGTCGAAATGGACGGATTTTTCAACATGCATGTATGAAATGTTTATCTTTTTATTTTATCCCGAGGTGTAACAATTTCTGGAAATTGTAAAAGTCAGTTAACTGACCATTTCACATGGACTGAATGAAATTTATGTATCACATTTGAACCGCTTCCAGACAAGTTTCGCTGAGTTTCTATGTAATCATAAAATTCATCCTCAAAATTAATTGATAATTGATTTATTAATTGATAATTGATTGACATGACGTGACAAAATATTTTGCTGCAATGTGTTATGAAAAGCGACCAAATTTTGAAATAGTCTAGGCCATGGTCTAGGCTATATTTTTTTATTTTATCCTTTTTCGCAATAAGAGAAATCGTGAAAAGCTAATGGAACGGCGCGATTTTTTACAACATCGAAATCTTCTTCATACTATATTTATAGATTGATAATTTGCCAAATTGAAAATTACAAAAGATTTTTTGTTCTTACAGCCAAACGAATACCCTCAAAAGATGGCAGCCCAGGCAGATTCTCAATTGGAGCACATGTGTCGCCTCGAATTCGATGCTCCTGTTTCGCAAATTCGCTTGTCAGGTATTATCTGTACCATTGGACCGGCTTCAGTCAGCGTCCCTATGTTAGAGAAGATGATGGCTACCGGCATGAACATTGCCCGCATGAACTTTTCCCATGGGTCACACGAATACCATGCCGAAACTGTAAAGAACGTACGCCAGGCCGCAGCGAACTACTCACAAAAGGTTGGCTATGAATATCCAGTTGCTATTGCCTTGGATACAAAAGGTCCTGAAATCCGTACCGGTTTGATCGAAGGAAGCGGTACTGCAGAAGTTGAGTTGAAAAAGAATGAAACCATTAAGCTTTCTACTAACAAGCAGTACGCCGAAAAAGGCAACAAGGATGTTATCTATGTTGACTATGAAAATATTGTAAAGGTGGTCAAGCCCGGCAATCGTGTGTATGTCGATGACGGTTTGATATCTCTAATTGTTAAGGAGGTGTCTGGTGACACGTTGACCTGCGAAATTGAGAATGGTGGTGTTTTGGGCTCTCGCAAGGGTGTTAATTTGCCCGGAGTCCCTGTAGACTTGCCCGCCGTGTCGGAAAAGGATAAATCTGATCTTAAGTTTGGCGTTGAACAGGGCGTTGATATGATTTTCGCCTCATTCATTCGCAACGCTGCAGCTTTGGCCGAAATCAGAAGTGTATTGGGAGAAGCCGGAAAAAATATAAAAATCATCTCTAAAATTGAGAATCAACAAGGCATGCATAACTTGGATGAAATTATTGCTGCTTCTGACGGTATCATGGTGGCTCGCGGTGATTTGGGCATCGAAATTCCACCCGAGAAGGTGTTCTTGGCACAAAAGGCCATCATTTCACGTTGTAATAGGGCCGGTAAACCTGTCATCTGTGCCACTCAAATGCTCGAATCTATGATCAAGAAGCCTCGACCAACTCGTGCTGAAATTTCAGATGTTGCTAACGCTATCCTCGATGGTGCTGATTGCGTTATGTTGTCTGGCGAAACAGCCAAGGGTGAATATCCCTTGGAATGTGTTTTAACCATGGCCAAGACCTGCAAGGAAGCCGAAGCTGCCTTGTGGCACCGAAATCTATTCAATGACCTGGTTCGTGCCAATCAGTCATGCACTCTGGATGCTGCCCACGCCACCGCTATTGCCGCTGTAGAAGCAGCAAATAAAGCCTTGGCTGCCGCTATTGTCGTCATCACTACCACTGGCAAATCGGCTTATCTCATTAGTAAATATCGTCCCAGATGTCCCATTATAGCTGTAACTCGTTATTCGCAGACCGCTAGACAAGCCCATTTGTACAGAGGTTTGGTTCCATTGGTATACAAGGGTATGTTAAGAACTACGTAGTGTACATAAAACTATTACTTAATGCCCCCATTCGCATTTCAAACAGATGCTCCACTTGGGGACTGGTTGAAGGATGTCGATGTACGTGTCCAATTCGGTGTGCAAGTCGGCAAAAAGAATGGCTTCATCAAATCCGGAGATCAAGTAGTCATTGTTACAGGCTGGAAACAAGGTGCTGGATTCACCAATACCATGCGCATCGTGTAAGTAAAATAACATACCTTAAACCCAGAGAGCGATCACTTATAACTTATTTTACGTTTTTAGACCTGTCGAATAAACTAAACCTTCAACCACGCAGACATTTCCGAATGGAGTTCGGAATATTCGCTTAAATGCAACAACTAATTAAAATACGTTCTGGCACATCTGTATAGATTAAATTATTTCCCATTATTATGTATTTGTAGTCTGAACATAGATCTGTTAATAAAGTAAAAACAGTTCAGTTATGTATAAACAATAAAATATAATCAGTATTCTCATCTGAAGATGTTTAAGTGCGCTTCTAAATAATTTCCTGCGAGTCACATGTGAAGCATGTATTATATGTAATTATTAAATGGGAACAATTTCACAATTCCTATTTGGACAAAGAGAAATTTTGAAAAGAAACTAGGATGTTTTATTTTTTAAATGTCGGTGTTTTGATGATTTAGTAAATTTACTAACATATTTTTTATAAATTCTGAAATTTATGACAAATGTATATGTTTATAAGTATGTGGGTGAACGTTTGCAATTACTTGGACTGATACGAATAGACGTAGTGAGCAATCGGATGCTGGTCCTGTAGCTGTTGGTTTCCCACCCTTGAAGGTTCGCCATGTGATGTGGAACATATGGATTGGTCAACGGCGACGGTCACAGGGCTCGCGATGGCCGTTATGGATTGTGTGCCTGCTGCAGCAGCCGCCTTTTCTTGAGCCTCCTTCTCGCAAATGGCTCGTAGTTCAAATTCACTTAAAAGCTGAGACACTCGACTTTTAAGTTCAGCTGCTAGTTTTGGAGGTAGGCTTTTAACTGAAGCTGCAGCGGATTCGAAGAACAAATCAAAGCTGTCCTTTTGTGGCGGTCGGGGCATATAATAGTAATCTCCCATTTCTCTCACGTGTTCTCGCTCCCTCTTAACAGAATGAGACAATTTACTTGTATTGGGATCAATTATATTATCAAATGTCGATACTTGTGAAGAGCGTTTTTCAATCTTCGTACGTTTCAACGGTGACTTTTTCAATGTAACGGGTTCCGCTTCTTTGAATGTAGCAAACTTAGCTGGTTCCACTTTAATAGTCGTGTATTCAATATGATCATCATCAAGCATCATTTCGTCCTCACTGCAGAAGAAGAGATCAATGATGTCTACTTTGATACACTTTTGAAAGAATACTTACAAGTCGTGGTCAATATCATTTTCCAAGTAACCATTAGTATGGGCTTCAATTAAATCGGCTTCAGGTTCATTAAAAGAGTTCATATTTTCAAATCCTTGAAGACGCATATGCTTCAAAGTTTTCTGATGTCTCTCCAAATGTGTCCTTTTACAAACTAGATCTCTGCGGCATACGGTGCAATATCCCACAGAGCTATCTCTTTCGGTTGGCCTTAGCCACGGAAAGTCTTGACCCCATTTAAGGCAAAATTTCTGTCGTCGTTGCTGGGGATCCTCGTATGGTCGCACTCGAGGTTTAGCAGGTGTCTTTTGGACTTTCTTCTCTACATTTTCGCTGAAATTTGGTATAAAATTATATTATAGGTATATTATATAAAGCATTTAATAACATGAAAGTTTTTCATTCGCAAAGCAACCCACAGAACTAGACATCATCCTTGAAATGGCGAAAGTAATTGCCTATGCTGATGATTATCCCGATTAAGGGCGATTTCTTTTTACGTTATAAGAATTTATGCAAAGTGATCTTGTTAAATTTTTGCAATAGTGCTATTCAAAAGTTCTAGGATATACCGAGCTAGAAACGCCGTGAGTGTACATACACTTGTTCTGACAAAGTGAGTGCCAGAATAGGCCCGTCCCTGCATGCAAAAAATATCACAGAAATGTTTCCTGCTCGGGAATCGAAGCCGGACGTTCAGACAATGATCCGAGCACGCCTACCCCTGCTTCACCAAGTCATAAAATCCTGAATTTATGCAAAGTGATCTTGTTAAATTTTTGCAATAGTGCTATTCAAAAGTTCTAGGATATACCGAACTAGAAACGCCGTGAGTGTACATACACTTGTTCTGACAAAGTGAGTGCCAGAATAGGCCCGTCCCTGCATGCAAAAAATATCACAGAAATGTTTCCTGCTCGGGAATCGAACCCGGACGTTCAGACAACGATCCGAGCACGCCTACCCCTGCTTCACCACGTCATAAAATCCTGAAATTTTAATTTTGTTCAATGCTTGAATATATGTAAACAATCGCTTCTTTATCCGATGAAAGTCACAAAAAATGTCTGCAAACGCGATAACAGGAGATAATTGTAATAATGCAAAGAAATGGTTTACATAACGATAACAGGAGGCAGAAAAAGGAATTTTGTTATTGTAACGTATAAACTGGTGCATTTTTTGATTAGTTCCGATTCGCGGAAGTGATGTTTTTGGGCAATGAGCAACTCACTTCTAAATGCATCATGGGTACAAAGCGTATCGAATTTGACAATTGAGTGGCTGAGGTCATCTTCAAACTTGCACCGCTTCGAATGATAATTTACGATTACGTTAAATTTAAGTAATTCTGTATAGTTTTAGATAAAAAAAAATCCGACATATTTGTATGAAAAATATTTATTGGACTTAATAATTTACTTGTATTTAATAAAACTGATGCGGAACACAAATTAAATAAATAAACAAGGAAAGGAGACTATATCACATTTCTCATTCCGTTGGTAACAACTTTAAGCATTCGTCGTAGACCCTATTCATGATCAACTTAAAATTCTAAGTCGAGGAGGAGGAGGAAGTAAGATATTTTTTTTAGAAAAAATGGATTCTTTAACCAGTGCCAAAACATTTTCAATACAATGATATCCACCGATATTCGAAATTTCCACGGTATTGTTTCAAATTTGGTATTCAAGACACGCAATAAATAGCAAACCTTGTAATAGAAAATTGTCTATATAGATTCCAGTTTTGGTAAAATTTGCAAATTCTAGCATTTGTATCAGTGTATCACTCGCACAAAGGGTCAACATTTTGAATAATCACAAAGACTGTCTTTAAGTTTTATAAGTTCATTCCTTTGGTGCCTCCTTCATAAAATTTCAACAATTTGAATAATCTAACGCAAAATATATTTTAATAAACGGAAATATGCTGAAATTATTATCTGTTTTTATATGTTAATTAATAACATATTACAGCAAAGGACAATCCTTGTGTCCGGTTTTTGTATGACGATTCGAATGTAAACACATCAATTAAACCTCAACGAAATTTTACACAAATATAGTTTCCAACATCCTTTAAGAGGTTAACCTCCTTTAAGAGGATTTGTATGCATGCAATGGAATCGACAGTTTAAATTCATTTTGTTTATTAAATCCGGTAAAATGTATAAGTGTTGGCTGTGGACAACATTGGGCCACAATGGGCTAGTCATTCTCACATGTAGAACAGAAAACTACGTTAACCCATATATATTCCTAAGGAATTGACTCTATGCAAGTAACATATTTTAAATACGATTTTAAATCTCAAAAGGTCCTAGACACAATTTCAAACTAAACTGGAAGCAAATTGACAAAAATTGTTTTAAGATATAAACATATTTTTATGAAACTACCACATTGAATCCTTATGCAAAGGCTCCTATAATAAATTCCATATCACAGGGAATAGAGGTATATTTTCTAATACCACCAAACTTACCATTTTATAAAGACTTCCTCTATGTGGGCATCAGGCGTCGAAGTGTACGCATCATTTTCCCCATCACAATTCATAGTTGAAAAATTGTTTGCACTTCAATAAGGGCACAAAAAAACTCGTACGATAAAATGTGTATAGAGTACGCTAAAAAATTGTGGTACGGCCAAATTGTAATTGTGCTAACACTTTAGAACGGGAATAAAAAATAACAACACTGTGGCGCGCTAGTACCCAAAGAAATTGTGAATGTTGGTAAAATATATTTTAGATGTCCAAACAACCAAAAAACGGTAATAATATATTTTACAATTGGTTGGAAAGTTACAAAATGGAGCACTTTTTCCCTTACAGCTGATGTGAACGTCGGTCAATTGTGTTGTGTGTTTGTGTGTCGTACTTGATTGCAATCGAAGGAAAAAATGTTCCCAAGCTAAGTTGCCACATTTAATGATGTAAATGTAATTGTGATTTTTTATATACATCTTGCCGTTATGGAGGAAGGAATATTGAGGCAAAGATACTAAAGAATTCATATTAGTAATTAACTGTAAAATAATTGAAAAAAAAAACTAACTTTTAAATTCCTAGACACGATGAATTCCGCTAATATATGCGTAAAATTGTGAGTATGGCATCACTGACAATTTATCGACAACAAAGTGGCGTCGTGAGGCATTATCAGGACTGCTGAAGGAAATTCAATAGATTCGGAAATGTAAGTCAGCTTTATTAAATGTTTTGACGTATTTTTCAATGCAAACTTTGTTGTAAATAAGGGATGTTATTAAGGACGTTCCGTCAGACAGTGATGCAGCTATTAGGAACAAAACAAATGGCACAGTGGGTGATGCAGTATGTGAGAACACTCCATCCAAAAACATGCCTAATGATGGATCGATGATCGTGGAATCTTTGAACGGTTCTACGCTAGAGGAAAATATGAGTTTTGGCAATGACGTAGAAAACAACACACATGATGATTCTTTCGGAAATGATAACTGTCAAACAGAGCACTCGGAAACGGTAAGGACAACAGAGTTTGTTGTCGTTCCAACTACGTCAATAGCTCCTGAAAAGTTTTTTACAAATGCTGATGCTGACACTGACACTGGTATTAAAGATGAATTGACTGAGCCCATAACAGACGCTATTCCTACGGGCGAAGCTTGTGAAAATGATCCCATGGATCTTTTGGTTCTAAATAATCGTAGTAACAGCTTAAAATCAAACGAAGAGGAAGAGGGTGATAATGAGGATGCCTTTGACGATTACAGCTCGATCGGTTCAACGTCCACACATGGCACTCTTAATTCAACGAATATCTCGGAATGGTGTAAAGAATTCCCTTGGCTATTGTATGAAGAAAGTGATGAATCTTTCGGCTATTGCCTTTACTGCGATGTTCGATTAAGTGTGCGCTCGGCATGCTATATCAAGCAACATAATATGTCCCTATATCATAAGGAAAGGAGCGACAATTACTTATCCTTTAAAGAGGAGGAAGAAAGGAATCGTTTCGGGTAAGATTTCGGAATGTTATATGTATATTTTGGCTTGGTCCTAGTTTAGATAACATTAAACGCTCTTGTTAGTTATCTCTAAAAATATGCACGTTTCAAATGTATATTTCAGGGGTTGTTGGAAGGGTAAGAGTAATCTTTGAAAAATATGGTATTTCCCATATGTCACCACCTCAATGCTCTATCCCATAATTAATGCACCATTGGAAAGGGAGCATTATAAAAAGTATGTTTTTCTGCCCTTTTAGAAAATTGCTGGGCTCTCAAAAAGTATGCTAGTAGCGTTTGGTTCCAGGTATTCTAGGTTAATTGTGCCAGGATGTTAGATTCGGGGGTTGTTGGAAGGGCAAGAGTAATCTTTGCAAAATATGGTATGTCCCATATGTCACCATCTCAATGTTCTATCCCATAATCAACGCACCATTGGAAAGTGAGCATTATAAAAATTATGTTTTTCTGCTCTTTTAGAAATTTACTGGGCTTTCAAAAAGTATGCTAGTAACGTTTGGTTCCAGGTATCCTAGGTCCATTGTGCCAGGATGTTAGATTCGGGGGTTTTTCTACCTTTTTTTCGGTTGCCAATAAAAATCACCTAATTTCGATCACGAAATTTCACTAATAATACGAAACAAAAGTCAACACAATAACTATCGGTAGATTTTAAGACAGCTTTATTTCCATCGCTAATACCTCGTAGAATATTTCGTTAATTATCCCCATTGATTTTTTTGTTATCAATAATTGTCGTTAAATAGTTAGAAAGTGTCAATACATTAAACTATTTAATTATTTTTTAAGAACGCCGTTGTTTGAAATAAAACAGGAGATTGGAACCGACAGCTACGTAGCTGCCTTGAAATTGAAACGCAAAACCCAAGCTGAAGCACTGAACAATTTCAATTGGCGACGTTGGCTGGAAGAATATCCATGGCTGGAGCGTGACAGCGCAACAGGCACCATTGGCATCTGTAAGTACTGCAATGTTCGCATTAATGTTGAATTTTCCTATCTACGAACGCGACATCAGGAAACATCAAAACACAAGGAGTTCGAGAAGGAATACAACAGTTCGGGCCAGAGAGATGGTTCTTTGAATAAATCCGACGACTTTCAAAACAACACCAAAAGGTAAGAAATTCTAAATTATTATTTATATAGTATCCATCCAGCAGTGGTTAATAATTTTGATTGGCCAAGGACTTTCACCTTAGCCGTTTATGTAGAAATTGATGTTACCTATTGAAATTGGTAAAGGTAAACATCTTAGAGTATACTACCGATAACTGCATTTTTTAGGTTGTTGTTTGTTAATATAAGATATTGGCCGTGATTACATTGAATTGTATGTAAATTAAAATATATCACGCTCAATTTAAATTATTTTATTTCATACTTGGTAACGCATAAACAGTATGCATCCGAAAAATATAATTTAACGTATGGACAAAAATTAAACTATCAAAGGAAACATCAATTATAAAGATTATACAAAATTGCTACCATTTAATTACAGAACAGCCTATTGTTGAAGATAAACCCGGGCTGATCTGTAGCAAATGTAATATAGGTGTGTGAAACATCACCAGAAGTTGATTCCAAAGACGAGTACTCTGACAAAAAATAATCTCTCTCAAATAAGAGAGTATATAAAAAAGCCTAGACCCGCAAAAAAAAAAGAAAAAACAAAATAACCTTTTAATACATTTTTTAATAATATATACTTCTGTTTACATACTTTTTTATTGCATATAGTAATACACATAAAATGTACATATTCATTTTTAGCAACGAAGACAATGATTTTCGCTGTAAGTCTGCTCAAGACGAATTCGCTGTACTGCGCTGTAAAATATGCGATATAACAGTGGCGAAAAATAATTTTAAGCGACATCTACGTACAAATCTGCATCTTAAGCGCGAATCGGAATATGTTAAAAGTAATAAGGCAAGGAAATCGAAAAAGTAAGTACTAAACACATAGATAAAAAAAGATATGGACGAAGAAATGTATGTTCAAATAGAGTTGGGGCGACGGAGCTGCTAATTGTTTAATGTCAATGAAAGTACATCTTTGAACAGAAAAATGAACTACAATTTTACTTGTTACTTGAAACCGTCTTCGAATAATTCTGAGTTTCTTGTGTTTGAGTTCCTTGTCCACGGTGTTTTGAGTTTTTCTTTGTCTATGCTACATATTTAACATTTTCTCTGCATTAACACATAAATATATATATATAACAGATCAATGTATTTTACAGAACCAATTCAACTGATAATGAAAGTCAGGAGGTTTCTTCCAAAACATCACACGAATGGCATCTGTATACAAAACAACATCCGTGGCTGATTGCGGATCCGTCTGATAAAACACAGGCCTACTGTAAATACTGTGAAAAGCGGCTAATATATGGTAACTCAGCAGCGAAACGCGCTACACATGAGAACAGTGTTTTTCATAAAAATCAAGAAAAAAATATTAAAGGCCAATTGAATGAGAGCAGAGGAGGAGAGAAGTCGAATATCGTCGAAAATAGTGAAGAGGATCAAAACAATGGAGATGAGTCAGATGAAGAAGGAAATACAGAAGCCGAAGATGGAAATGACCCTCAGGAGGAGAATGACGAAGCGAGTGAAGAATCGGAAGATGAAGAGAATGATGATAACGATAAAAACCATGAAGATGATGAGGAGGACGAAGAAAATGAAGAGGCGGAAACTGACGAAGCCCACGACCAAGAGGAGGACAATAAAGCAGATGAATCAAGGTAAGCTAAAAACTGACTAATTTTTTCTTTTTAATTTTTGGTTGTATTAACCAAGATGTATGTGTTTTTGCTCCATAATTGCGAGCAATACTTCGTAATGAGAATATTTCCAAAGTAGGAATTTTCAAACTCTCAGTAATTTAACTGTCAAAAATGCTCTCTTCACGCGCTCTTTCTTTCTGGATTTTGGGTTAACGAACAATATTTTGTAATCATTTGTACAAAATATTGGGTTATCGTACACACCTATTAGCATACGCCAACAAAAATAATTACCATTAATTTTAATTACATTCGGAATATTTCAATAAATAGATTTGTCTTCCATGGAAACAAAACATATTGATGAACTCTTTAGGAATTATATGAGGATGAAATTTGTAACGCTTCAAATGGGTTTTAGAAGGTCGTTGACATTAGTAAGAAAGCGTCTGTATAACGATGTTGAATAGGATTAAATGAACGAAAATGCGTTACACTCAATGACAGTTTTCTCCTCTATTTACTATAAATATTCACTTATTTATAATTTCTTAAGTAATTCTTAAAAAACATTTTTATTACACTTCACATAATTCTTCATTATAATATTTCATATACTTCTTAGAACCTAGTTGAATGAGCAAATCCAAAACATCTTATTAAAGTTGTAGGTTTTCAACAATTGACTACGTTACAAAAAAATGAACATTTCGATAGCTACTGAAGTCACCTAATGTAATATCTCCTTCGAACGTCTTAAACAAAATGCAGAATGGATTTTAGCATGGATGGATCTCAGCATAATAAGTCTTAATTAAAATGGAATATACATATTTGTACCAAAAATCTTGCGTAGCGTAGATCAATTTTACCCAGATTAATATGATACATAAAATATAATTAATTATCGAGCTGCACGGCCATTGAACCTTGAGAGACAAAATCCACGTTATTGTTAATGCAACATTCATCTCTGGATGTAGGTTCTTATAACCTCCAAATATCATAGCTTTTGCAACGAACGTACAAGATGAAACCCGACGGAATAAATTAATACGACTTTCAAAGGCCAAGAGAGATTTAGCCTAACCACTAATATCATCACCAAACTTATGGAGTGTTGATGTAATGTAATAGTTCAAGTTATTTACATATAGTATGAATATAGAAGATAGTCCCTAATACTGAACCCTAAGGTATGCCGTTTTAAAGCGAGTTTGATTCAGATTCACGCAAACAAGTAGTCGATGAAAAATCAAAATTATTTCCATCCAATATTACTGAGAAAACTGATGTATGAGTTTAATATTTATATATTAGTTTAACGTCCCCATAGTCTTGCACAATGTTTTATTTATTAATTACATTTATGTAATACAATGCCTGCAATACCAAATATTACAATGGTTACATAAAACCTTAGTTTCATAATATTACAAATATTTTTCAACTATTAAAGTAAGAGCAAAATATATGCGGCCTAGCTTATTCTTAAATTCAGTATTAGGCAGAACATTCCAAACGCGTGCAACCCGAACTAAAAACAACATCGATCTCTACGAACCCCTAAATATCCTAGCCATAATCAGCTGCTTTTTAACATACATGTTAAAGGAAATCAGTAATATATGTATCTAATATTATGTATATGTATGTATATCTGTGTAGGAAACGTATTTTTCGCAATGATTCCGAGTGGTACAAGCAGTATCCCTGGTGTAAGAAGTATAAACCGGACCCCTTGAAATACTGCTTCTGCAGCTTTTGCAAGATTGTTATTAGTAAAAGGTGCAATCGTATGAAACACAGCCAGACGGGACGCCATGTAGCGGCAGAGGCAGAATATTTAAGGAAGCACCGTCAAAAGTAATCAACAGTCCAACACCTTCAACAAACATTTTAAATGCAAATCAATATTTTTTTATTTTAGGAAAAATCTGTACTTGTTAAAAAAGCCTAACGAGACTTTCGAATGGGCCGTGGATATCAAATCACAGCCAAGTTTGTACTATTGCAAGTATTGCCGCGTTCGTATTTCGAGGCGTTACAGCAAGAAACAACATTCGATTAGTAAAATCCATCAAATAAATGAAAATTTATTCAAAACTAGTAGGTAAGTGTAGGTGGGATATTGCAGAGTCCCCTCTGATTTATTATGTTTTATACTCTATCCACTTAGAAGAAAGCCGGTCAAACAGGAGAATAATATTGTAACACAGCAAACGAGCCTGAAACGGCAAGAAACGCCGCCATTGTCAAAAGTGGAAAAGGTACCGTCGTTAATAACTCTCATCAAGCAATGGCAAAAGAAGTTTCTGTGGTTGTCGTACAAACGTTCGGAGAGCCGTTCTAACTATGCATTTTGTAAAATTTGCGAGCAATCGGTTTACGTGCGCACCATAAAGAGTGTAATAAAACATCAGCGATCCGGCAAACACATTCGCACTACCAATCAGCTTCGACGGCAGAAACTACAGCAACAACGCGAGGAACAGGATGAAGCGAACCACAAAATCATAGCGGATGTAGGAAAGCGGGAGATTAAAACAACCAAAGCCAAGGATACATCACCAATATCAAATGCTGGTGATAAAACTCCTGAAGTGAAGAAGTCTCAAAGTGAAATTGCTGTTTCGAATATAATTGATGAAATGCAAAAACGATACTCATGGTTAAAAAGATCTTCGAAACCCAACTGTGGGCACTGCCCCTATTGCAATGAAAACGTCTACCTTAAGCCAATGTTTTTAAAAAATCACAGTAATTCAAGAAATCATCGTCAATCTGTCGTAAAATACCGTATAAATGTCGCTAAAGGAGAAAAACGACGGCATAGCGAATCGAACGCCACCTCTGAAGATGTTGATGATGGTGATGATGTCATTTTGATTGAAGACAACGCAGAAGAAATTTTAATATCTGAACAAGATGATAACTGGACGGTTAAGTATGTTTACTTTTTCTTAGTTTCTCTCTTATTTCAAGTGCAGTCTTATGAAAGATTCAAAAATCAATCCTCTAAGTGCCATACTCTGGCGAACTTTCCTCCGTTTGTTTAATTTTTTCTTTGCAATTAAAACCCAGTTATAATGCAATTCATTCATAATTACAAAGTGTAAATAAAATTGCATTATGCAAATGCAATGGTCACATGAATTCATAAAACATTTCACCATAATCGGGAGTTTCAATATTTTTAAAATTTCTTACATAAAGATTATAGAACGATCTCGATCTTGGCTTTGCTTAAAAAATGAGACCGCAAAAATAATGTTAATACTGACACTTCAAGCTCACCGAAAAAAAACAGATTATCGCCACTCATCTAAGTCCAATTAAATCCATCCTGTAGTGGGACGGTAACTTTCAAATACAAAATGTTCATGCAAAAAGTAAATTAAAAAAATTGACAACATTGTCGCTAATTACCGGTAAATTACCGAAATTATAAGCAATTTACAAATTGCTGTTATCGATAATTGTCGTTAACTAAAAGCAGAATCGCACTACTGTTTCACAATTGCTCCAGTTCCAGAACTGCAAGAATGTAAAACTTCTCACTACGATAACCGATGTTTCCTTTATGATATGAAACAAATTCCCAACATACCAGAATGACTTGAGAATAATATTGTTATAAGCTTAAAAACATAAGCCTTAAGCTTGAGAAAATATTGAAGTAAGTACCAATTGAATTCCTGTATTTTGTTGAGGCGTTCAGTCTATAAGAAAATTGAAGTTATATAAACCACAGACTCCTAAATCACTTATTTTTACCATAAGGATTTGGTGGGAAATATTTCCTTTTTTGCCTCACATTGCTATTTATAAAAAACTAAAAATTTTTGGCAAGAATTTTCATAAAAATACAAAACGAATGTCAAATGACGACACATTTGAAAAATATTTGTCAAACTTTGTTAAAAAAATGTTCAAGGCAGCTATTAATACACTCAAGCTGTATTATAGTTTTATATATTGGGCTGCAAAGTTAATAGATTTTTGCAGGTTCTGGAACAGAGCGAGTGTCTTGCACAATCGGAAAGTGCATGCACAACTTATTTCTGGGGGAACATTTTCATTTCCCCTAACTTTTATAAATATTATAAGAATTTTTGTCTTTTTAACTGTTTTTAAGGTCGGAAAATATGGATGAGCACGAAGCATTAGATTTTTTGCTGCAGCGTTCGGGCAAGTCGGCTGAAAATACACCGCCACATGGCCGGCCTTCGAAGAGAGCAAAAAAATGTAGTCCATTCCACCGACTTAATGAAAACAGCGCTTCATTAGTTGCCAGTATCTTGTCTACACCATTAACTTTGGCCTCATGCCTAGGTCCACTGATACAACAACAAATCCAACAAGCAACAAGTTCACAAATTCAACAATCGCCCACGATAGCTCAGCCCTCGACTTCCGCTGTCGGTTTGCCGCAACAGGAAAACTCTTTAGACTTATTTTTCAAAAGTGTCAGTGAAACTATGAAGAATTTTCCCACCGATTTGGCAGCCGAGGGCAAAGTGAAAATAATGCAAATTATTTGTGACTTAGAGTTGAAGGCCTTAAAAAGACAACAGCAATGTACTGCAGATATCATTGCTGCTCCGAATGACAGCAGTTCGAATCTAGCAAATAATTCACCAGCAGCGTTGAATATTTCTGTAAGCGACCAGTCGGAACATTCCGAAGCGATTACAAATAAGACAACATACAACAATTCCCCCGCTCCTTCCCAGCCAATCGATCAGACAGGTACTGAGACCATTTTAACTCCAATAACCGGCGAATCATCAGTAAATGGTCCACATTCGAACCCAAAATCATCTCTGACAAACACCAATGTGGCCTCTAAAACATTAACGAAGGAGTCAAATAAGGACTCCCACACGAATGCCAATCAGCAGCCACCTATTATTGGTCTAATGGATAAAAATGGTCTTCATACCCTGCAATTTAAGAATTCTGCAATTGTTAAGCAAATCACTAAATCGGGTTTAAATCCCACGAACAATACGATGTTATCTACCTCTGCGATTCGCTGCATACCGCTTAAGAATTTGTCACATAGCGCTGGGCCAGAGGCAAATGCAAAGTTCACACGCATTCAAATGCCAATAGCACCATCCACTACTACTTCTGTCCACAGTCCCCAGAGTTCTCCCAACATTAGTGTATCGGAAAGATCTAAAGCAGGAATGGTCAACGTTCGTAGCATTCAAATAGCAAAAAGGCCCAATTTGGTGCAACAAACGACAGCTACCTCAACAGTGACAACCAACAGTCTTTCGAGCAAAAGCCCAAATTGCAACTACACAGTGACAACACAAAATATTCAACGTTTTTCCCAGAATCCGAATGTCTCTATGAATAATCAAATTGCAGTTAATAACTATAACGTTTCGCGACAGAAAACACCACCAACTTCAAGAAGCTACCACAGCTAATTTCCAATGCAAAGAGGAGTACTTTTATATTTTTCATCTAAAATTTAAACATTTTTCTCTAAGAAAAACAGAAATACGAATTATTCTTTAAGATTTTGTTATTATTTATGGACGAAATTACTTTCGTTGTCTTGCAATAGGTTTGGCAGTAGTAGCTATAGTGGTACCTTACACAATGTAAGTTTCGATGAAAAGGCCAAACAAACAGCATTGTTCTTAACAAAACTATATATGATATGTTGTTCTAATGTAACTTTTCATTCATGTTCTTTCGTCAATCCTTATACACTTGTTAAAAGTTACGTAATTAAAATCTAAACTTTCTTTTCTGTAAAATATTCCATTATGTCCGGTTGCGACCAGCACTGTTCGATGTTGTTGTATAAACGTAAATCGTATTTATATATATATATCAGAAAGAAACATTATATAAGATTTATGTTAAGAATGGAACTGACATCATTTTTCAGTATGACTGCTATGTACCAAATGAAATCAGTTCCAATATCATTATTTTTCAAATATATTTACAATATATGAATAAAATCTTTGTCCAATTTTTTTCTTTGAAAAAATTATTTATATATTTAATTTTTATTCTAAACACAGCTTTTTTCTTTAAAGTTTTCAATCATTTTTCCGGCTAAGGGGATCGGCTTTTGGTAAACCCTTACCTCGGGTTAAATTGTTATCATTGTTCTTAGGGTCTATTGCTTCTGACACTATTGGAACCAACTCAAATTCCTTTTCGGTTCCTAAAAGTATTGAAGATTGCATCCCATTATCGGGTCGTTCGTATATGTTTGGTGTTGTGTCAGCAATAGGTATATTTTTGAGATCGTGGTTGGTTGTAAGATTGGATTGTTCAGTCTTTTCACTCTTGCGGCGATACTGCAACTCGTTGGCCTCCAAAGCTTGATCTATGTGGTTTGGTCGCGTACGCAAAGGAAATTCAATTTTCACATCCAAAAAATGGCACAGCTCTTCTATGCCATCTCTTTTGTAGATTGTTTTGGCGTATTTTTTCGAATTGTTTCCAAATACGACTGCAACTTTGAACGCGCCACTGCTACCACCGTTTGCATGTTTTTCAACTCTAGTCGCATGACTTCAGTGTTCTGGAAAAATCAAAGATACAATTTTGAAGTCGTGAACAAGACATATTACGTTGTTTTTATAAAATCAATAAATGTAGTCCCTATGTAGCACAAATGTCTTTAAATATTATAAAATCACATGGAACATTTTATTTCAGTAGAAAGAAGTTCTAAATCAAAACACCAAAGGTAGGGATTAATAGGGATCCTTGATAATATGAAATGGCGTACTACTGTAATTACTATTGACGTTTTCTATAATAAAGAGATATCCCGAATAGTTTGATTTTGTATTAGGAACAACCTAAGTAGAATGTTTGGTACATTTACATGTGTGTGCTTACATAGGCCGACCGTTTAGTAATTCTAAAATGAATATGGTCAGATCTGTGCACATTTGTCAGTTTTCTTAAACAAATTATGTGCATTAAATACAACCTTTCCATACATATGATTTAGGGACATATATCATCATAAAATTGTCATAACCTTAAAGTGTTCTTGATAATTTTTGGTCGAATTATGTACATTGTCTTTATAGCCATCCATGGCTACATTATTGCTGCCTTCAGAAGTTGATTTTATTCTTGCAAATAGTGCTTCTTCCACAGCGTTTCGTTCCTGAATCGTTGTTACGTGTCTCTCCAAAGCACTTTTTTCTCTCGGTTGGGGTCCACGTGAGCATTTTTTATCTTTAACGGCAGGATCGCGCACATTGCCCGGCATGGTGAAATATATGAACGCATTAGATGGTCTGTCGTACTTTTTTGGCATTTTCATATGCAAAGCATGCCGAAGGATCAAGCTGATGTCTACATTTTGGGGATATCGCATCAAATAGGTAAGACACGTTGTATAGTCGCTCAGTAACACTGCAATAGTAAAGACGAAAGCGTTTATCATCTATTTTTAAACGTAATATATATTTTCGTACGTTTATCACGTATCCTTATTAGCATCGCAACAAGTACGTAGTTTGGTAAATCAAAATGGTCGCTGTCGGCAAAAATGGCATCCCACAGGACAAGGAGATCTAACAAAGCAAATTCTCGTCCAAACAACAGTCTCAACCAACGTCTAAAGATAGTTGAAATATACGTAATTAAGTTTAACGTATTTACCATAGTTATATTACATTCCAAAAATATGTAGCGGAATATCCAACTTTATTAAATAATTGTGCAGGTGCAAATCTTCTTTGGCTAAGATTTTATCTCTAATAAAGTTTAGTTGCGTTATTACTTCCACCTCTGAGGCATATGCTGGTACTTTCTGTAAAAAAGAGGATAGTATTTTTAATGAACTTAAATATAGTCATAGTAAAATGAATTCTTTCCCAGAACTTTAACACTACTACATTTAACCTACATCTGGATCTGAGAGAGCCACACTGTTGCCACTTGTAGACACCATGGAGCCGCGAACACGATAATAGGATTCTATAGATGCCATAACACGAGAAAATATAAAACTAGAAAATGAAATAAATCAATAGAATCCCAATTCAAATAGTTCATACTGCACATTACTATGAATCAGCTTCTAAATATAAAGGATTCATTACTTCCAGCAGTGTGTCACTGAAATAGAGAAGATCTTTTAATAAGAGATACGTTCTAATAAAATCGACTTAAATACCCACTCTATATCGGAATAATTAGCAATTTCTTTAAAATGTAAAAAACTCTGGTGGTCTCCGTACATAACGAATAAAATTGGTGCTAGAATTTCGTGCATTCCTTGCCGATAAGACATGTATGGATGATCCCGGGCGTAGTAAAAAAGTATATTGATCTTTTCAAACAAAAATGTTTAATTAGTAGTATGTGTAGCTTTATCCCAATAAAAATACAGACTACTCAACTCGTAATACTTTTGAGTATTTTATATTTCTGTAACTATTGGAACTGCTCCGAACCATGATACAATAAAAAGGTATTGTTTTTTGGTTATATCTTTGTAGTTCTTACGAATATCGCATACCTTCTTATTGAACCAAGGAAGGCATTTTTCTATATCTGCGATTTGGAACACTTGTTTACCATAATATTTTGAATTGCCGGTTTCCGAAAAAAATCTACGCCAGGAAATGTCCTTACCACATCCTGTCGTATTGTAGCAAACAGTTCTTGGTCACTGAAGTATTGGTTCCAAACACTCTACAAAAATTAATATTGCAATATTTTTTTCATAAAGTATTGTTTTGAAGTTAACAGCATTTCTTGGTTGCCAACAAATATGAATCCATTTTAGTCACTAACCTTTGATGATTGTGACAGTGGATCGTCGTCCACTTGCATTAAATTTGCTCCTGTTTGGTGGGGATTTTTGGCAAACTCCTTTCCTAACTTTTCATAGCTATACAGAATAGTCATCAGTTAATACTTCAGAAATTGACTACAATGTAATATTACCTTTGCCTCTGTTTTTTCTTTTCAAGTGCCCATGACAAATGATCCTCACTCAAAACTCTCAAGAGAATTGACCAGAAAACGCTACGAAATTTTGAATATTGCAATGCACCGTCAAACGCCTGCTCGCGAATGTACTCTGGATTTGTACTTAAGCTTTTTAAGAGGCCACTCCATTCATTCCTTAAAGAAATTTATACAATAACAAATAAGTTAGCACGGTCTTAAACGCGCATCATATCTTTATTAAATTCCGATTAAAATATAAAATACAAACATTTTTAAAACAATGAATACTCAGAGAACTTTGGCGAATATCTTAGACCGATAAGATCCGTGAGTACCATTCCCTTCTGTTCAAAACAAAAGAAATACAGTTTTAGATAAGGGACTCAACTCGCTGCATACCGCTTAAGAATTTGTCACATAGCGCTGGGCCAGAGGCAAATGCAAAGTTCACACGCATTCAAATGCCAATAGCACCATCCACTACTACTTCTGTCCACAGTCCCCAGAGTTCTCCCAACATTAGTGTATCGGAAAGATCTAAAGCAGGAATGGTCAACGTTCGTAGCATTCAAATAGCAAAAAGGCCCAATTTGGTGCAACAAACGACAGCTACCTCAACAGTGACAACCAACAGTCTTTCGAGCAAAAGCCCAAATTGCAACTACACAGTGACAACACAAAATATTAAACGTTTTTCCCAGAATCCGAATGTCTCTATGAATAATCAAATTGCAGTTAATAACTATAACGTTTCGCGACAGAAAACACCACCAACTTCAAGAAGCTACCACAGCTAATTTCCAATGCAAAGAGGAGTACTTTTATATTTTTCATCTAAAATTTAAACATTTTTCTCTAAGAAAAACAGAAATACGAATTATTCTTTAAGATTTTGTTATTATTTATGGACGAAATTACTTTCGTTGTCTTGCAATAGGTTTGGCAGTAGTAGCTATAGTGGTACCTTACACAATGTAAGTTTCGATGAAAAGGCCAAACAAACAGCATTGTTCTTAACAAAACTATATATGATATGTTGTTCTAATGTAACTTTTCATTCATGTTCTTTCGTCAATCCTTATACACTTGTTAAAAGTTACGTAATTAAAATCTAAACTTTCTTTTCTGTAAAATATTCCATTATGTCCGGTTGCGACCAGCACTGTTCGATGTTGTTGTATAAACGTAAATCGTATTTATATATATATATCAGAAAGAAACATTATATAAGATTTATGTTAAGAATGGAACTGACATCATTTTTCAGTATGACTGCTATGTACCAAATGAAATCAGTTCCAATATCATTCTTTTTCAAATATATTTACAATATATGAATAAAATCTTTGTCCAATTTTTTTCTTTGAAAAAATTATTTATATATTTAATTTTTATTCTAAACACAGCTTTTTTCTTTAAAGTTTTCAATCATTTTTCCGGCTAAGGGGATCGGCTTTTGGTAAACCCTTACCTCGGGTTAAATTGTTATCATTGTTCTTAGGGTCTATTGCTTCTGACACTATTGGAACCAACTCAAATTCCTTTTCGGTTCCTAAAAGTATTGAAGATTGCATCCCATTATCGGGTCGTTCGTATATGTTTGGTGTTGTGTCAGCAATAGGTATATTTTTGAGATCGTGGTTGGTTGTAAGATTGGATTGTTCAGTCTTTTCACTCTTGCGGCGATACTGCAACTCGTTGGCCTCCAAAGCTTGATCTATGTGGTTTGGTCGCGTACGCAAAGGAAATTCAATTTTCACATCCAAAAAATGGCACAGCTCTTCTATGCCATCTATGGCATCCAACATCTCTTTTGTAGATTGTTTTGGCGTATTTTTTCGAATTGTTTCCAAATACGACTGCAACTTTGAACGCGCCACTGCTACCACCGTTTGCATGTTTTTCAACTCTAGTCGCATGACTTCAGTGTTCTGGAAAAATCAAAGATACAATTTTGAAGTCGTGAACAAGACATATTACGTTGTTTTTATAAAATCAATAAATGTAGTCCCTATGTAGCACAAATGTCTTTAAATATTATAAAATCACATGGAACATTTTATTTCAGTAGAAAGAAGTTCTAAATCAAAACACCAAAGGTAGGGATTAATAGGGATCCTTGATGTTGTTGTTGTTGTTGTAGCAGTAGTACATGTGTGTGTTTGTGTTCTGCTAATCTGGTTCCAGCTCCAGGTTTAGAAATTCGGCTACTTTAACGGGCTGTAGCCAGAGATCCTCTGGAGTGAGTTGGGTAGGTTTGGCTGAGCAATTAAAAAGGTGTAGCGTATTGTGCGGGCCTGTATCACACGCCGGGCAGGCGTCACGCACATCTTCATTAATTCGTGCCCAATACGAATTGAGGCGACTACACCATCCTGAACGTAATTGCGCCAAAACTACCCTGGTTTGTCTAGGCAGCTGACGTTCTTCGGCTGCAATGGATGGGGGGTGGACTCCGAGGACGGCATTCACTTTGTAACTGCTAATAGCATCCGCGACTGCATCGGTGTGAATGCCACTCAGACCTGCCTGATAGGCTTCTTGATCTAGAGGCTCTCTCTTGTAGCGCTGGACCTCCCTCTCTAGATCATGTATGTCCTTCCTGACACGCCTGGGTGGGGGAGAGTTATCCACCATGTGATGGTTGGGATGGCTCTCACGGTAACACCCAAGCAGGTACTGCAACGAAAGCATATGATTATGCTGACGTAAGGGAAGGACTTTCGCCTCCTCATGTAGATGGTCCACTGGTGTCATGAGGAGGCACCCTGTCGCAGTTCTCAGGGCAGCGTTCTGGCAGGTCTGGATATTCTTCCACTGCGTAGCACTAGTATTCGCAGACCACACTGGAGCCGCATAGTTGACCACAGACCGACCTATCGCGTTATAAGAGGTCAACAAGGTTTCTTTGTCCGCACCCCAAGAGCTGCCGGCTAGCGCCTTGAGGACCTTGTTCCTACTTTTCATCTTGTCGCAGATAGCTGTGGCTTGCGCGGACGACTTGAACATGCTGTCGAACGTTACCCCAAGAATCTTGGGGTAGTTCGTGGTCGGTATTAAATTCCCCTCGACCTGAACATTCAGCTGTGTTCTCATCTCCGCAGACCATGTGGTAAAGAGTGTGGCCGTTGATTTCGTGGCGGATATTTTCATATTCCTCGCGTGGAAGTATGCGGCAAGCTCCGCGAGATAGGGGTTCAACCTTTCGCATATGTCATCGACCACTGGACCCGACGCCATGATCGTACAATCATCCGCATACGTTACGATCTCAATGCCGTCTGGAGGGCGAGGAATTCCGGAAAGGTAGAGGTTAAACAGTTCCGGAGATATCACCCCACCTTGGGGAACTCCCTGTTTCACTCTACGGGCTTTGGACTTCTTGTTCCGGAATTCCACGTACGACTGGCGTCCACACATATAGTTGATTATCCAACGTTTCAAACTTGGCCGGAGGGTAGTTCTCTGTACGTCCTCAAACAGTGTGGCATGATTGACCGTATCAAATGCCTTTGATAGGTCAAGGGCTACCAACACTGTTCTGTCACACGGCCTGTTCTGGTTTAGTCCTCTACTAATATGTGTGGAAATGGCGTGTAATGCTGTTGTGGTACTATGTTGTGGACGGAATCCATGCTGGTGGTTGGCAACTGCATAGCTTCCTCTAATGCTGGGGAGGAGTAAAGCCTCAAGAGTCTTTGCTACTGGCGACAAAAGCGAAATCGGCCTGTACGATTCGCCTTTACTGGCATCCTTGCCTGGCTTCAGTAGCGGGACCACCCGGCCCATTTTCCAGGTTTCGGGCACTATGTAGGTGGCTAGCGACAAATTGAGAACTTTTGTTAAGTACTCGACTCCCGGCGTATCCAGCTGCTTCAACATTACCATTGAGATTCCGTCCGGGCCCAACGCTTTGGATGACTTAGCGTTACGGATGACATTTGCAACATCACCCATCGTAAACTGTGGTGGTTCCTCCTCGGCGGGAAGAGATCTGATACGACGTAGTACTCTTCGCTTCGCCCTATCACTCTCGGGGTGCTCGACAAATTGTCGGTTAAAATATTCCGCGCACCTCTTCGGATCAGTCACCGTTACGTCGTTAAAAGTGACTGAGGTCCTATCATCCTTTTTTCCAGGGTTCGAGAGCGACTTAACCGTTACCCACAGCTTACTCATATCGGTTCCAATGTTGCAGCACTTCAGATGGTCTAGCCACTTTTTCCTCTTATGCTCCTGCACCAACCGGTTGACTTCCACTGTCAAATCACTGATTCTAGGATCAGTAGGGTTGGTACGACGGAGATCATCACGCTCGTTTGCTAATCCCGCTGCCTCTGCTGGGAAGTTTGGTCTTATCTCGGGTATTCGACCAGCAGGTATATAGCGAGCGGCTGCAGCTCTGATGATGTTTCGGAAAATCCTTTCTGCTACCCGAACATCAGAAGGGTTGGGCAGTTCTCTGAAGCGGCGGTTGGTGAATTCTCTGAACTCTGGCCAGTGAGCTTTCCCATGGTTAAGGAAAGTGCGGCGTTCAGAGGTTATGAAATCGGGCGACCTGCTTATGGAGACGATTATCGGGAGATGGTCTGAGCCAAGAGAAATGACGGGTTGCCAAGTCACGTCATTTATCAGACCGGGTGACACTATGGTTAAATCTGGCGAACTGTGACACTCTCCTCTTATTCGGGTGGGGGCATCCTCGTTAACCGTGCAGAATGTGGAGCAGTCAATCTGCTCTGCCAGCGCTGATCCCCTCTGGTCATTACCTAGGACGGAATGCCACAACTCATGGTGGGCATTAAAATCCCCTAGTACCAGGCGGTTATTGCCTACCAATAATGGGCTAATATCAGGCAAATAACGTGGTTCACAGCTATTAATCGGCGGGATATACACATTAAGCACCTCTACCTCGGCAGTTCCACACTTGACTGCTACCCCCATACATTCCATGTATGGGTCACTAGAGACTAGCTCAAGCGAGATAGGTCTGTACTGAACAGAATGGTGTAACAGGAACGCTAATCCCCCACCTCCACTTCTGGTGCGATCCTTCCTTAGTACGTTGTAACCATAACAACGTTGTAGGCTGCAATTTTCATTCAGCTTGGTTTCCTGCACCGCTGCGATCTTAATATTCCTCCGACTCATAAATTCCACTATCTCATCTATTTTGCCTCGAAGTCCGTTGCAATTGAATTGCAAGAATGATGCACAATCCGGAGTTGGAACAGCAACATGTGGCGTTAGGTGCTGCGGTGTTGGTTGCTGTTCTGGAGACTGCGGTGGAGTGCCATACTCCGACGACGTCTCTGACGAGGACGACGAAGAAGAGGACTCGCTGGGGACTACGTTACTGCAGCAAGTCGCAACATAATCCCTTTCGCTGTAGTCTCGCAAACGCCTTAATCCGGAACAGTTCTTGAAGTGCACCCACTCTCTGCATCCATTACATCGCACCGAGACAGATCTGTGGTGGATGACGTTCTGACAAACCGAGCAGAACCAAGGTCCGGGGTTTTCCTCAATCCCGGCACGGACCAATAAAATCCGGAGCAAGCATTCCGGGATATGCTGCTCCCAATGCAGAAAAATAAACAAACACAAACATGTACATACTGGGTTGGCAGCCGCTGGCCGAAACAGGAAACTTGTTGTTTCGGGTCAATCCGGTATCGTAGAACCCGCTGCCGTGGGATTGAGGGATCCTTGATAATATGAAATGGCGTACTACTGTAATTACTATTGACGTTTTCTATAATAAAGAGATATCCCGAATAGTTTGATTTTGTATTAGGAACAACCTAAGTAGAATGTTTGGTACATTTACATGTGTGTGCTTACATAGGCCGACCGTTTAGTAATTCTAAAATGAATATGGTCAGATCTGTGCACATTTGTCAGTTTTCTTAAACAAATTATGTGCATTAAATACAACCTTTCCATACATATGATTTAGGGACATATATCATCATAAAATTGTCATAACCTTAAAGTGTTCTTGATAATTTTTGGTCGAATTATGTACATTGTCTTTATAGCCATCCATGGCTACATTATTGCTGCCTTCAGAAGTTGATTTTATTCTTGCAAATAGTGCTTCTTCCACAGCGTTTCGTTCCTGAATCGTTGTTACGTGTCTCTCCAAAGCACTTTTTTCTCTCGGTTGGGGTCCACGTGAGCATTTTTTATCTTTAACGGCAGGATCGCGCACATTGCCCGGCATGGTGAAATATATGAACGCATTAGATGGTCTGTCGTACTTTTTTGGCATTTTCATATGCAAAGCATGCCGAAGGATCAAGCTGATGTCTACATTTTGGGGATATCGCATCAAATAGGTAAGACACGTTGTATAGTCGCTCAGTAACACTGCAATAGTAAAGACGAAAGCGTTTATCATCTATTTTTAAACGTAATATATATTTTCGTACGTTTATCACGTATCCTTATTAGCATCGCAACAAGTACGTAGTTTGGTAAATCAAAATGGTCGCTGTCGGCAAAAATGGCATCCCACAGGACAAGGAGATCTAACAAAGCAAATTCTCGTCCAAACAACAGTCTCAACCAACGTCTAAAGATAGTTGAAATATACGTAATTAAGTTTAACGTATTTACCATAGTTATCTTACATTCCAAAAATATGTAGCGGAATATCCAACTTTATTAAATAATTGTGCAGGTGCAAATCTTCTTTGGCTAAGATTTTATCTCTAATAAAGTTTAGTTGCGTTATTACTTCCACCTCTGAGGCATATGCTGGTACTTTCTGTAAAAAAGAGGATAGTATTTTTAATGAACTTAAATATAGTCATAGTAAAATGAATTCTTTCCCAGAACTTTAACACTACTACATTTAACCTACATCTGGATCTGAGAGAGCCACACTGTTGCCACTTGTAGACACCATGGAGCCGCGAACACGATAATAGGATTCTATAGATGCCATAACACGAGAAAATATAAAACTAGAAAATGAAATAAATCAATAGAATCCCAATTCAAATAGTTCATACTGCACATTACTATGAATCAGCTTCTAAATATAAAGGATTCATTACTTCCAGCAGTGTGTCACTGAAATAGAGAAGATCTTTTAATAAGAGATACGTTCTAATAAAATCGACTTAAATACCCACTCTATATCGGAATAATTAGCAATTTCTTTAAAATGTAAAAAACTCTGGTGGTCTCCGTACATAACGAATAAAATTGGTGCTAGAATTTCGTGCATTCCTTGCCGATAAGACATGTATGGATGATCCCGGGCGTAGTAAAAAAGTATATTGATCTTTTCAAACAAAAATGTTTAATTAGTAGTATGTGTAGCTTTATCCCAATAAAAATACAGACTAGTCAACTCGTAATACTTTTGAGTATTTTATATTTCTGTAACTATTGGAACTGCTCCGAACCATGATACAATAAAAAGGTATTGTTTTTTGGTTATATCTTTGTAGTTCTTACGAATATCGCATACCTTCTTATTGAACCAAGGAAGGCATTTTTCTATATCTGCGATTTGGAACACTTGTTTACCATAATATTTTGAATTGCCGGTTTCCGAAAAAAATCTACGCCAGGAAATGTCCTTACCACATCCTGTCGTATTGTAGCAAACAGTTCTTGGTCACTGAAGTATTGGTTCCAAACACTCTACAAAAATTAATATTGCAATATTTTTTTCATAAAGTATTGTTTTGAAGTTAACAGCATTTCTTGGTTGCCAACAAATATGAATCCATTTTAGTCACTAACCTTTGATGATTGTGACAGTGGATCGTCGTCCACTTGCATTAAATTTGCTCCTGTTTGGTGGGGATTTTTGGCAAACTCCTTTCCTAACTTTTCATAGCTATACAGAATAGTCATCAGTTAATACTTCAGAAATTGACTACAATGTAATATTACCTTTGCCTCTGTTTTTTCTTTTCAAGTGCCCATGACAAATGATCCGGAACAACTCTAGTTTAGTAAAAACTCTTAGATTTTTTGGAAATTTTTTCCAGAGGTAGGTATTTTTACCCTGATCCCGGGAAACTATTTTTTTTCTTGGGGACGGACCCGGGACCCCAGATTTTTGACCCAAAAGTCCGGGATCAAGACCCCGCCTGGACCCGGATCCACTTACCCGATATAGACAATATGGGCATCGTTGGAAAGCTTATGAAAATTCCTATCCAACAAGTGGTCACATGATGGGGTAAGATCTTACGGTTCGGAAGTTATAGTCTAATTATCGATTTTTTGGACCCGGATTTTTTATAAAACCCCCAAAAAGTCAAAAAAGGGCCCATTATGGGGGTCAACAAAATTGTTTCCAAATTATAGCTGACACTCTTACCTTTCCAAAATGCTACAATTTGTGCTAATACCTTTTTCGGTTCCAGAGATATGGGTCTTTCCATCCGCATAACCCGATTCTAACCAGTTCATTAAAATTACGTTTTTAATAAAAAAAGTGTTTATTTCGCGTAGCAGTCGTCGGAATAACAAAAGTTTTCTAAATTTGGAACTTTTTGTAAATAGCCGGCCTTCGGCCGGGGCTTGAGATTTTCACCTATGGGTATGTCCGACCCCGGCTAACGCGAACAAAAGGTTCATAATTTCGGCACTCTTTGTAAATAGCCGGCCTTCGGCCGGGGCTTGAGATTTTCTCCTCTGGGTATGTCCTACACCGGCTAACGCGAACTAAAGTTTTCTAAATTGGATACCTTTTGTAAGTAGCCGGCCTTCGGCCGGGGCTTGAGATTTTCTCCTCTGGGTATGTCCTAAACCGGCTAACGCGAACCAAAGTTTTCTAAATTTGACACTTTTTGTATATAGCCGGCCTTCGGCCGGAGCTTGAGATTTTCTCCTCTGGGTATGTCTCACACCGGCTAACGCGAACCAAAGTTTTCTAAATTTGACACTTTTTGTAAATAGCCGGCCTTCGGCCGGGGCTTGAGATTTTCTCCTCTGGGTATGTCCCACACCGGCTAACGCGAACCAAAGTTTTCTAAATTGGATACCTTTTGTAAGTAGCCGGCCTTCGGCCGGGGCTTGAGATTTTCTCCTCTGGGTATGTCCTACACCGGCTAACGCGAACCTAAGATTTCTGAATTTCATTCTTACGCAAAATATACCTTTTTTATTGAAAACATAGTTTTAATGAACTGGTTAGAATCGGGTTATGCGGATGGAAAGACCCATATCTCTGGACTTAGTAAAGGTATTAGCACAAATTGAACCTTTTTGGAAAGGTAGAAGTGTCAGCTATAATTTGGCATCAATTTTGTTGTCCCCCATAATGGACCCTTTTTTGACTTTTTGGGGGTTTTATAAAAAATCCGGGTCCAAAAAATCGATAATTAGACTATAACTTCCGAACCGTAAGATCTTACCCCATCATGTGACCACTTGTTGGATAGGAATTTTCATAAGCTTTCCAACGATACCCATATTGTCTGTATCGGGTAAGTGGATCCGGGTCTAGTAGGGGTCTCGAACCCGGACTTTCGGGTCAAAAATCTGGGGTCCCAGGTCCGTCCCCCAAGAAAAAAATAGTTTCCCGGGATCATGGTTAAAATACCTACCACTGAAAAAATTTTCGAAAAAATTGAAGAGTTTTTACTAAACTAGAGTTAAGCCAATGATCCTCACTCAAAACTCTCAAGAGAATTGACCAGAAAACGCTACGAAATTTTGAATATTGCAATGCACCGTCAAACGCCTGCTCGCGAATGTACTCTGGATTTGTACTTAAGCTTTTTAAGAGGCCACTCCATTCATTCCTTAAAGAAATTTATACAATAACAAATAAGTTAGCACGGTCTTAAACGCGCATCATATCTTTATTAAATTCCGATTAAAATATAAAATACAAACTTTTTTAAAACAATGAATACTCAGAGAACTTTGGCGAATATCTTAGACCGATAAGATCCGTGAGTACCATTCCCTTCTGTTCAAAACAAAAGAAATACAGTTTTAGATAAGGGACTCAACTCTATTACCTATATCTCTCCTTCGAGTTCAATGCAGTTCCTTTTTCGCTGGATTTCTCACTAGCATTAGCTTCATCTTGTTCACCTTCTGTTCCATTAATTTCAGAGGTGTAGCTTAAGGCTTCTACACCAGGCACTGTCATTTTTTCATTTTTATTGATTAGAGTAGGGATAGATAAGTCTACTTCCGATTAATCGAATAATCGACTTTTGGTACTCAAAGCTCTGAAACTCGAACTCGACAATGGACTTGGGTGAAAACCGAGTACTCGACTGTTCATAGTTGATTGTTTGACTTATGCTATGTTCACATTGGAATTTCAATGTCGTTGTTTGCTCTCAAAGTACCATGGTAGAAGAATATAGGTAGGCGCATCGACTCAGCTGCCGGGACAACGAACTGTCAAACCAATTTTGGAATTGAAAATGTTGAATGAAAAATTATTTAAATTTGTAAAAATTGTTGAAAAACGTGTATTATAATAACATCCGAATGACGTCGTATAAGAAAATATCTATTTCTATTTATTTTTGAAGAAACATTTAAAATTTTTTGATATATCAATGTTTCCAAGCGTTGCTGCTTTTACCTGTATTCTTCTACCATGCAAAGTACATTAAATCTGATTAATTTTTCTATTTTGATTTTTGAAATGTCATAATTTATTTTTTTTGATAAATTCTCTCATTTGTTAGGAATGGCATATATTTCATCGTAGTTCTGAGAGTGCTTTGAATGGAACAAAAACCTTTGTTCGCTCAGAAAATTTTGTGTAGGTAAACAGGTAAATATTTCATAATTAATGTTCGAATAACAAATAAATAGCGAATTACGTGCCATGTGAACTTAGGATTACTTTACTCATTATTTTTTTTTCAAAACCTTTGCTCGCTTAGAAAATTTTGTGTGGGTAAACAGGCAAATATTTCATAATTAATGGTCGAATAACAAATAAATAGCGAATCACGTGCCATGTGAACTTAGCATTACTTTACTCATTATTTTTTTTCAAATTCCTGTTCCATTGAACAAAACTGTAAGGTCACCTCGTTTCAAATTTCAAAATCTTGTCAAATTTAATGGCAAAGAAAACAGGTTCCCACTATTAGAACAAAATTAAAGGAAAGTCGATTATTGCTTTCCATTGCCTATCCCTAGTCTCCATTCTTTAATTTTTTATTTTCTTCCTGTTCTTCAGACATATGTTGCCATATGTCAATTCCACCGTGTTTCGGGTATGGTGAAATTTTAAAGTGACATTAGGCACTAGTGTTTACCGGGAAAGTTGTAGATTTGTTGATTATTCTTGGGTTAATATAGGGTTATGATACCATTTGATTTGATTTTTTTTTATTTTCTTGGCTTAATATTTCAACTTTATTTGTTAATGTGTGCGTATTCTTTTCAATAATAAAAAATTGTTCAGAAAATATTCAAATACAGCTTTTTCAGCGATATAAACCTTATGCCATATTTTGTGATATATCATAAAGGGACACCAGAGCCGAATCCTGCCGTCGTTTCCCATTAATGGCAAGCTGTTTATGTAATCTTATGCCATGTTTACGTTAGAACTTTTTGTAGGGTTAACCTACTTTGAGAGGATTTATTTGAAGCAAAAGTAATGGGCATGACAATTTAAATCCAAATCCAGTGGGTTAACCCTCATATATATAAACGTACTATTACCCTAACTATAAATTGGAAGACATAAGATAATTTAAATTGTAGAAAATAGTAATACTTAACATGGCAATCATTTAATCATATGTTTACAATTTTTTCAAATTTATACATTTGATAACATCTCATTGTCATAAAAATCTGGAATAGAAAGTGTTTTTTATGCATTGAAATTTGACAAGGTAAATTACAGAAAATGCAGAGCGGGGAATGCTAATTTGAAATGAGGTTATCTTTATTTCATTGTACCATGATACTTATTTTAATATGACGGGTTTAGGGAAAATATGTGAAATTGTTTCTGAGTGTATCCTCGTCATTATGGGTATATACATCATTTATTCATCATTCGTCATCACTTTTGCCGTTACCGATACAAATTGATAAAATTAAAACTCTCAATGGTAAATTACAATAGTTTTCAGGATTTAAAAATGTTGTTAACTTTACCATGTACTTTTATTATAACTTTTCATTTATAAGTTTGCTTTTTCATTGATCGATTTTTATGTATTACATGAAACGCTTTTTGGCTGGTTTAAGTCATCTGCTGGCTTCTTAGTAGACGAACAAAAAAAATTTTAGCTTAACTTTCGATTCCGTCTGTGTACTCTTCAGAGTTTTCTTCCAAAAGAGAATTAAACTAACGTACTCTCTCAAAAAAACTGCAGGACGTTTACTTTATTTTAAATTTACTTTAATTTAAAAATTGATTTCTTCTTACTGTTTTTAATGATTCTATGCATGTTTCATTTGTCTCTTTCTCTAGGATCCGTCTTGCATCTTGAATACCACATGCCAAGAGCTGAACCATTGGCTATACAGACAACACTATATTATATCTACTCAAATTTTACGTGACTTGATTTGCAATAACTTGTGTCATCTTGGCAAATAATAGATTGCCAAGAACAAAATGAACAGAATTTAATTGAAATTCTTCAGATAAAACTCGATCACTTAAAGAAGAACCTACACGAGCTGATGATTTTGTGCTTCACCAGCTTCTATATTAAAAACTAAAAAAAATAATGTTAAGCTTTTGTCAACAAAATTTGTAACGACACGATTACCGCCGTTGCTAGGATATGCTCGCGGTGACCAACGTGCGTCACAGAAATTTGTTTATTTCAGCGACTTGAGTATGAAGAATGGCTATATTTATTTTGGGAGAGATATCCCGCTTTATTCTTCTTTATTATTCAAATATTTTATCATTTTTCTGTAGTGTTGTCCTTCTTATCAAGAGCGGCTTTCTTCAACCCACCCTTCTGCGGAGCAACCTGGGGCTTATAAGAAATGGAATCCTGTCTCTGAGTGGCGTGGAGAAACTCACTCTCACTCCTTGAGTCTCGTATCTTATCAATTTCCGCACTCATGTTACCGGTCTACACTCGATTGTTCCCCTCTCACAGCGGGACACTCCTTTTATAGAGATCTCCTTTGTGTAAACATGTTGTTTACTCCTTCGCGACTCTCAACAACGCCTTACCAAGGCATGTTATTGGTATCTATTTCTTCGCGATCCGTTCGCGAAAACAAATTGTTTACAAAATGTAAAAAAATCTATTATTTAATTCTGTAACGAGCTTGCATTGATACCAGTAAGGCTTAAGTGTGCCAAGTTTTGTCTCCGAAGGTTCCAAAATAGAGCTGAATGGCGCATATGGCGTTAAGCTAACAATTTGTTTTCATAATGGCCAATAAAAATACATTATCTCGAGAATACCAACACCTTTATTGCTGGGAAGCTCCACACTCAGTCCATAAAAAATCGTACTTTTACTTTCTCAATTTTTGTACACCCGAAATTCGTCGGCGAAGACTGAAAGCACAAGCAGCCCAAGATAAACAGATAATCTATGTGAACGGTATAACCTCACCCTCATTCTCTTTGCTTTGGATAAGACGACGTCATTGACCTGCTTTAAGAGGAACGTTGTTGAGAATCGCGAAAGAAAACAAAAAGCAGAAACTTCGTGACGATAAGACTGTCTCACTGTTCGAACAGTTAGTCATTATTAATTTGTTTGAAATTCGTTTCCTCATTTTTTAACTGTTTTTACTGGTTTCTTGTCCGATTCGCCGTGATGTTGTTTTTGTTTTTCTTAATTTATTTCCTGTCCATCTCAAAGTGCGGACAGACACATGGTCGGTCTGGCCTAGCAAGAAACAAGACATACTCACAACTATAACCAGATAACAGCATTAATACGGGTATTTAAATGTAAATGGCATATCAGATCGTCAGCATAGTTTTGTATTTGACCTGAAATATTGACATTGACCTTTACCGTTAATAAGTTGTATAAATTGTGTACAGAAAATATTCTAATTCTGAAATATTAACATATGTAATGTATTAACAAGTAAAAAAGCAGTTTATTTCAGCAGGTCGACAATTAGAAAAAAAATTTTAAATTTTTTTTAATTTTTTGAAAAAAAAATACAAATTTGAAACATATTATTCAAATGGTTCCATTATTGCAAGATAATTTTTCTTAATTAAGACTACCCTAAAATATTTCAAGAAACCTATTAAAATACCAATATCCCATCTGACTAAATTCATCAAAATTTCAAATATCGAGGGGGTTCCATTATATGAGATGAGGTAATACTTGGACCTATATAGACAATTCCATAAAAAATTGTCCAAAATCATGAAAATACCAAATATTTTGTGGTAATGTTATATTGGCGCTATATGCAATCGTAGACTTATTTACACAATTTTTTTTGTAACTAAGAACTTTAAGCATCTAATTCCGCTCAAATAGATTCAAAAATTTGGCCAGTTTTGAAAGGTAACGTCACATGGGGGATATACGATATCGTGGACCTATATAGACCTTTCTCTTTCAGGGAGTAAAGGATGAGGGTACGTACAAGGATTTTTTGATTGACTTAAGTCATCGGCTGGCTTCCTCGTAGAGGAAGGAAGGAGTTTTAGGTCGACTTCGTTCGATTTTGGTCTTACGCTCCTTTGTTCTTTTCCGAAGAAGCCAGCCTTTGACTTAAGTCAAAAAATCCATGTGATACCCTACAACAATATGTTAGAAGACACCTTATGTCCAAATCCATTTGGGAAGATTTCGCTTTTGAAATGATGTCATAGAGCACTGCCCAGATATTACCCTTAGTTTTTTCTCCACTCTACTCCACTCCATCGTGCTCTTAGTTCCAGCTAACTATAATCCAATCGTCAGCCAAAATGCTTGACTTCTTCCCTGTCCTTAACTCTCTTCTCATTCTCCGTGTCGATTGGTTTCAATTGTGTGATCAGGAATTTTTTTGTTTTTGGTTCATTTGAACCCCTAAATATTTTGAGGTCACTCTAAATTTTCAAATTTAGACTCATCGATATGATTTGCTTGTCTACGATATTTGGCTATATTCGTCAACGAAATCAGTATAATAAAGCCAGAAGAAGAATAATACCCCCCAACGCATAGTGTTGTAGGGTATAAAAACCAGTAAACAAAGTCTTAAACTCGGGCGGGAC